CTGGGCAAACTTGGGCCCTCCAGGTGTTTTGGACTTCAACTCCCACAATTCCGAACCGCCACAGGCCCTTTCCTTTGCCTGGTCTACACTGTAGAATTAATGCAATTTGAGGCCACTTTGACAACTATGGTTCAATGCTATGGAATCTTGGGAGCTCTGCTTTACAAAGCCTTTCTCCCTCTCTGCCCAAGAGTGCCGCCAAGTGCGCATGCGTCCCCTTCCCAACCACTGAGCTGGCGTTGGGAGCATCGCGGCCGGTAGGGGGCGCTGTGGCGGCACCGAGCGGGAGGCGTTGCTACAAAGCGGAGGGGCGCTTCCTGTTTGCGCCTGGCCAGAGGCAGGAGCGGCAATGGCGGCGGTTGGAGGAGGAAGAGGAGGAGGAGCAGGAAAGGGGGCCCTCACAGCCATGGCGGCGGCGGGGCCTGCTCCTCCTGAACCGGGCCGGTGCGGGGCTCGGAGAGCGACGGCGAATATCCTGACTCAGCTCCGGCGGGCGCAGCTGAGCGGCCGGGGCCTGACGCGCGGGACGCAGGTATACCGGGCTGAAGGGAGGCTGGGCCTTGGCTTCTCTTGGGGACGTTAGGCCGCTGGGGAGGCGAAGGCCGCCGCCGTTGAGCCACGTGTCCCTTTCCAGCCCCCGTAGCCTCCCCTCTTCCTCTTCCCACTCCAGACGTGGCAGCCTCGGCGGGGTGGTTTCTCCCCCCATTCTTTTCTTGTGACAATAGGAACCTTCTCACAGCTTGCAATGAGCACCCTCCTCCCCGCCCCTTCTTTTCTTTTTTTCTTCCCTTTTTTAAAACGAATGCAGTTTGACACCACTATAAATGCCAAGGTTCAATACTATGGAATCCTGGAGGCCTTTAGTTTTCTCTGCTAAAGAGGAATGGTGCTTCTCTAAACTACAGACTCCAGCATTCTGTGACATTGAGCCATGGTAATTAAAGTGGTGTCAGATTGTATTAATTCTGCAATGTAGAAACGCCCTCACCGCTCAGCAATTAATAATAATGAAGAAAAGTGCATTTTTATCCCGCCCCCTCAACAAAAATACAATATACATAGTAATAATCAGCAATCAAAGCAACACAAATCAACAAATCGTAGTACAAAAGCAACCATAAACATATTAAATTATAATTTCAAAACATCACAATAAGTACAGCTACTGGCCAGTGCTAAATGAGGGAGTTTGGGAGTTGGAGTCCAAAACACTTGAAGGGGCAAAGTTTGCCCATGCCTGATTTACACTATAGACTTAATGCAGTTTGATACCACTTGAACTGCCAAGGCTCAATGCGATGGAATCTTTAAGAGTTGAAGCTTGGTTGTGTACCAGCAGTCTTTGGCAGATAAGGCTGAAAGTTTCAATTATTCAATAGCATTGAGCTGTGGCAGTTAAAGTAGTGGAAATGCACCCACCCCCCCAATTCCTAAACTCTAGGTTGAACTATTTCATGGTCAGATTGGAACAAAAAAGTTCACTCCCACTATTATATAAACAATGCTGTTGCAACTGGAGAGAGCCTCTTAATAGAGATTGGGGCCATTTCTCTTTACACACCCAGTATGGCTGCTTTTTCAGCTTCTAGGAAAGCTTGGGTTGACTGCTGGGGCCTTTTTTCTGCCTGTAATTTGACAACTCTCTGGAACAGGACAGTGTCTCAATAGTTCCTGAAGCTTGACTCCTCCTTCTCTAGTAGTTAGGTATCATGTACTTAGTAAAGGTGACTTCTCTCAGTCTCATCACACAGACACAAATATCCATGCCAGGTTATATGTGACTAATTGTATGAATGTGATTGAAAGCTGCCGTGGAATCCTATTTTATATTCATGTGTTAACAGATCATAAGTCTGCAGCCGTGATAAATGCTTGGTGATTACTTTGACAGTTGCTTGTAGAGTACTGCTGCTATATTCAGTTTCTTACTATATATGGTCTGACCCTTAAATTTGTGGGGTTGTGATTAAAGTATATACAGTAGAGTCTCACTTATACAACCGTCACTCATCCAACATTCTATATTATCCAACGCAGTCTGCTTCCTGCCTGGATCCACAGCTGTTTTAATACATTGTGATGTTTTGGTGTTAAATTTGTAAATGCAGTAATTACTACATAATTGAACTTTTTTTTCTGTTGATTTGTTGCAAAACATGGTGTTTTGGTGCTTAATTTGTAAAATCATAATGTAATTTGATGCTTAATGGGCTTTTCCTTAATTCCTCCTTATTATCCAACATTTTTGCTTATCCAACATTCTGCAAGTCCATTATGTTGGCTAAGCGAGACTCTAATATAACAGTATTCATTATCGGTAGTTTCTTATCATTCCCATGTTCCTGATCTAGTGTCTGCCCAGTGCCCAAATCATCTCTTTAAATACTGAGGCGATGCAATGCTAATATTAAAGTAGAGCAGGTTTCTTATGATTAAAAAATATGTACAGCTTTTTATGAGACAGATTTAAATTGTGGAAGTTTGAGGTTCTGTTCCAAGTTGAAAATCTGGCTTTATTACCAGAGTAGTTTAACTCCAATTGATTTTTTTTCCAAAACTGTTCGGAAATAAAGTATATTATTATATGCTGGTTTTGTAATTTCTTATCAATACTAGAGAAGTGCTACTGTAACTGGTAGACCATTGATCAATGCTGGTTCATGATACATTTTCAAGAAGAAAAGAGTTGCAGCCAATGGGCACAAACATGATACTGACACATTAGTGGGAAGATTGCTGGTATCCCACATTAGTCAAAGAGGATCTTTGGTTTTATATCTTATCTTCTAGTTCTTAATGTGACTACACTAGAAAAAAACAGTGTTGTCCTTTAGCAGTACTGAAGTTGTTTGAAACTGAAGAAGGAGAAAGGTGGGATATAACTCCAATAAATGAATAAATACTAAAACAATAACTGTAGTCAACTTGCATGGTTTTTGAAGCTTCAAAATGGACTCCTTCCACTATATACATTTTCTCAGTTTTCTTGTATTCTTCTTGGCACAATGACCGGTGGCAAATGTGCTTGGGAACCTGTATTCGTAGTCTTTGCCAGTGCACATGCAAGCATTTATTTCTCTTAGTGGGGCTACAATCTTTTTAAAATGTGAACACAGATTTTCAGGCTATTAAGTCCCTGCAAAAAAAAAAGATTCAAGAAAAGATTCAAGGTGACTTAATGTTACCTAGGCATATTTTACCACTCTATTGTACAGAAAACTACTTGTGGTAACTTATTGCATGGAATTAGAATGTGAGTGCAATTGCTTTGTTGCATGACATTGCTATAAAATCATTCAAACTCAGTATAGAAATAGCCCATAATTCCTATAATCATTGACTGCTGGCTGTGTCATTTGGAGATGTGGTTTTTAAAGTCTTTTTTTATAATTGCATTTTGTTGTTACAGTTTTTGAATAGGAAAGGCAAGTGGAAAAATTAGGGACTGAATTCTGAGTGCCTTTAATACTAGTTATTGTGCTAGTCAAGTGAAGAAAACAGTTGAAGATGAGGACTAGAGAATATTTTCAATTCCTCATAGACGCGCCCTGATTCAAGAGTCTCTAGAACATTCAGTTATGTAAAAGATTTTTCTTCAGTTGTTCAAAATCATAGAAGTTATTTTTGAACAGTTATTTTCAAATTGGAGTGTTAAAATCTACCAGAGCATTATGAATTTTAGCATTAAAACAAAATGGGAAGGGAACGGGGATCTAGCAACATCTTTGAACATGATATTTCAGCATTAGTTTTTCTGGACCTTTGTGCATTTCTTCAATCTATGAAAATCTTATGTTGAAATGTATCTCTTAGTCTTTCCTCCTTATGCTGTCTCCATAATAAGTTTGAGTTATGCAAGAGTTCTGGGGCAGTGTGAAGTACATACTTAAATTCAAAGATTACATATATTATGTTGTGTGAAGTTAGCTGGAGCTTCGCCCACTTTCCTCATTGCCTATCTGATTGTCTGGAAGGACAAAAATACTGTTCTATTTGTGCTGTTATCTCTACTAGGGCAGCAGTCTGCTGGGCATCAGTGTGGATTGGAAGAAGTCTTTGTCTCTCCAGCCCTCAATGGTTCTGCCTTTGAGACTGCTGTTTCTTTGCCATTGTTAGTGATAGCAAAACAGTACTCAGTGGTGATCTTTGTGGAATGAGAAAGGCTTTCATCCCCATCATCTCCCAGCAATATTTAGATCTTTAAAACCTTACCATTTCAAGATACATAGACAGAAGAGTGTTGTGTGCCCTTGTAATCATTGTATGTAGCTTTTGAAGCCAGAATGGTTGCCTAACATATTCTAAGCCTAGAATCTAAGGCATACTTGATGAGTTGGAGACACAATAAGACCTAGATTTGTGTTTTTAAAGATGAACTGGAGATATAAGTGTTCTCTTTTTAGAAGTTGGAAAAAATTGTGTCATGTAATTATAGGTGTACGATCTGGCTACTGCCACTTATGGCATTTTAGGATAGTAAATATGTGCTAGAGTAGAGGCTTGGCATGATAATTCTACAAGGCTTTAAAATCTGCTTTGGCATGAATAAGGACATTTGGCACTCACAATTGTAATGACATATAAATAATAAGAGAAGCATTCTAGCGCTAAAAGTAAGCATCCATTAAGGTATGCAGACAAAAGTTATAATTTTCAGAAGAGTATGAACATGTTTTATTTTCTTGTTAAGAGCTTGAATAAATATCAGTGTCCCTCTTCTGAAAGCCATTACAATCTGCTTGGCACTGAAGAGCTGTTGTAATTAAGGTCACACAGTGTAGTCTGTCTCAGTATACAGAATCTTCTTTGTATTCAGATTTTGACATGAATGATAACTAAATTTTCAAATCTTGCTTTGTGTGAGAAACATTCTGTTCTTGTGAATGCATTGTTAGCCTCCTGTCAAGTATGTTTGCTGTGTATTTGCATCATCAAGGTGAAAAAAAAACCTTATAATGTCAAAAATATTTCGAATGTTTATAATCCTTGTTAATAAGACAAGCTTTTTATACCTGAGTATTGCATATATCATGTTGGCTTGCTCTTCTCGTAAAAATGTTTTTGTGTTTATATATTTGTGCTCATTATGTTGCTATAGGAGTGGGAGTGTTTCACTTATAAGTATTTCTGGATTTGACTGTTTATGTATGAGAGTGGACTGTAGATAAGACACAGCTAAATTCTAAGCTAAAATGTTACATAGTAGTAAATTTTCTGTTAGTGTGAACTGTGCTCCCAAAAGTTTTTTATGTGGTGGTGGTGAAGAAAATATAACTCATTGGAAAACTGGAAATGCAGACAAGATTCAGAAATCTGTAGTTCCTTCACGTTTTTCTGAATTTTGTCTTTGTGAATCTTTTTCACTAAGGTTAGAGCTCATTGGAGAATCACCAGAAGCAGGAAGTGCCCATTAGCTCACCGGACTTACTGATGACAAAATGGTGGGGCTGCCAAAGCCAGTCTTCTTCCTCTCCCAGAGATAAGGCTGTTGGGGAGGCAGAGGAAATTCCAAAAAAATATTCTAAACGTTTGACCAAAATCATTTTTTCCCAAAACTGAAGCTCCCAAAAGGGTGTGTTTGTGTGTGTGCTGAAATAAAAAAAAATCCATTTTTCTAAAATTGAAGCTCCAAAAAAGGGGTGCATGTTGGCATTGAGGTTGTTCTAGATTTAGTGCATTATAGTAGTTAAATGCATTCCAGTTAATTCATATGTCAAGTACAGTTGAAATTAATTTTAAAATCCAGGTGTCTAGTAAAAAAAATCTAGCAGTATATTTCAGGAGATTTCAAGACAGTCCTGCATCTTATTGATAGTTCCAGCCAGACTACACTGATGTAATCAATGGAATTCCCATATATACCTCTTGATTAAGTGGATCTGTTCTAGCTTGGGTTAACCAGTAGGGTCAGACCAAAGTTCACAGTTGACTGAAATGACATTTAAAAAATCTTATCTTCTTACTGATGACCTTCAAATAACAGCCTTTTGAATTATATACGGATTTGTTTCTTATAGTGAAATGTGATTTCTCATTCAATTTCCAGTACTTTATTTTAACAATGGTTCTAAAAACTGCTGATACTGTATTAGAGTCTGGCATTCGAAGATGTCAAGCAGGTGCTGCAGTTCCACAGAGACATAGGCTTGATCTAAACTGCTATAGAATGCTGTTTAACTGCTTTATGCTGGTCTGTACTGACCATAGCTCCAAACGTCTATGACAGTGTAGATTTAACATGTTGGCTCAAGAATAACTCAGTAGTAGTTTTGTCAGTTCCTTCCTCTGAAATATACTCTATAGCACCTGGCATTCATTGACAATCTCTCATTCAAGGGCTAACCAGAGTTTTGACCCTAATTAGCTTCCAAGACCAGACAGGATCTGGTTAGAGTATTTTGCTACAGTATCCAAAATTCTACTATTTGAAATTTTTGTTGAAACCTATCTCTCATACTTAACTGTCCAAATTGAGATAAATAAAAGCTTTTTGATCTTTCTTGGGGAATACCAGGTATTTTTGATCCTGATATTGACATTTTGCATGTGTTGGTCATCATACTATCATAGTTGAAGAGAAACATATCAGTCTATTGCTATGATATCAGATGCTTGATTGATGGTGTCTCTGATCCAACTTTTGATCCAATTGTGTGTTTCTACTAGTAACAGGATGTGACATTTGCCGATTTCCCTCCCCTCCCCTCCCCAGAAAAGTCTGCATTGCCTTTCACTCTGTTACTGAGGGTCATCCCAACCTCCAGATCATTTCAAGACAGGCAATAAGGGGAAATAATTCTATCCCTTATCTTGTTCTACCAGTGGAAAAATCCTTTGAATGAGCCTCTGTTTCAGGATAGTCTTACATAGGTGCTTCCCAAGCTATCTGATATGAGGAAATGGCAGGGGTTTTTTTTTCCTAATGTACCAGGGGTAGGTACCACATTTGTTACCCATTAGCTGAACCTATTTTTCTTTCCTGGAAATACAGTACAACTCAACAGTTAATGGTTCAGGAACTGGAAGTGGTCTGTGGACCACCACTTTGTTTAGCACTGCTCTAAGTCAGTCTTATACTGTATATAGAACAGAAACAACAATCTGCCTTCAGTTTTAAAACATGTATTTTTATTTTAAAAATCAGGTGTTTCCTTGATTCTAAAATCAGTTGTAAGGCACACACTAACTTCAGTACTACTACCGACAAAAAAATGTGAGATTCATCCATGCTTCCTAAATGCACCCCCTTTTTAGCAATGTTTGAATTGAGAAAATACAGTAATTATTTTTGCCTATTCTCATTTTCATGAACGTTATAAGAATTATTATAAAGAAGAAATCTACAACTTTGCATGTCCAGGGAAAGCTGGTAGATCCATTCCTGTAGAGAGTGCAAATACCTTCGCAGTTGTATACTTGTGTCTCTTGCAGTTGTTCCAGATGCTGGACCATATTTCTCACATAAGATTTGCACTGAGAGGTTTCCTGTACAAATCAAAGCAACTGTGAGAAAAATGACCATAAAACCATTAGTAGAATGCGCATATGGCAACAGATCTGCCAGCTGCACCTGAGTATGCTGTATTTCATGCCTAGTATTTATTGACAGTGATTTTGGTTAAAAATTGAACAATATGTTCGCCAACATTTAGCATAATAGTGTATACATACAACCAGATAAAATAGCTTTCAGTTGAGAACATATTGACTATCATCAAGCATGGACAAGGTGCAACATCCTCTAAAAATGTATTTGCCCTCTTATCTTGTAGATTACAGAAGCATTATTAAAGGAAAGAGATAAACAAGCAAAATGGAATGGCATTCCTTTGCTTCTACAAAAGCTGTATGAAAATAGCCACCCCAATAGTGACTTTTCCCAGTGCCAAAGCATCTTAAAGGTAAGATTTCTGAATCATAAATAGACTGTTGTATGAAGGCTGATATATTGTTTTAAATTCATTTTCATTTTCTTGAGATGTATTAAACCAGTGTCCTTATAAATTGCACATAATTCACTGATTCTGAAATGAATGAGATATCCAGTTCATTATTTTCACCTCATGGTTTGCATAATTCTGTTAGAATTAATCTGAGAAAGAAAAATGTCAGACATCCAAGCTAGGTTGAGGAACAAAAGAACTAGGCTTCATATTGCAAACATATGTCAGATAATGGGATCCGTGGAAGAATTTTAGAAGAGAATCAATTTGTTTATTACAAATTACAGCAAAGCCTTCCATGTGTAAATTATGAGAAACTATAGTATGCTCTAAAAGAAATGGGAATTCCATAATATTTGATTGTCCTGGTACATAAACTACTTTGGACAAGAGGCCACTGTCAGGACACTAGATGGAATAACAGAATGGTTTCCCATTAGCAGCAAGGTCAGACAAGATTGCATTTTATCACTCTATTTGTTTAATTGTTGTACAGAACATGTGGAGAAACCAAAATTAGAAGGAGAGGAAGCAGGCATTAAAATTGTGAAACTGATCACTCATAATTTAAAGCATGTAGATGATGCCATATAACTGGCTGAAAATAGAAATAGAAAATATTTGGAATGACTATTGATGAAGACCGTGGAAAACCAGGGTTACAACTGAATATTAAAAAGAAGAAATAATGACCGCAGGTGCTTTGCGTAATTTAAAATGCGTAACAAAGAGATTGAAATATTCAAAGAATTCCCGTACCTTAGGAAATCAAAGTGAAGACTTCAGTCAAGAAATCAGAAAACAGCTAAAAGTTGGGAAGGTGACCATGAAATAACTTGATGAGGTCCTCAAGTGTAAAAACCACAATTAATACCAAAGCCAGAACCATCCAGTTTGTAGTATTTTCAGTTGCTAAGTGTTGGCATGAAAGCTGGGTACTGAAGAAATCTGATGGGAAGAAAATCAACTCATTTGAAATCTGCTAGAGCAGAATTCAGTAGATATTATAGAATGCTAAAATGATCAATAAATGGGTTTTAGAACAAATCAAGGCAGAACTTTCACTAAAAAGAAAGATGAGATAGTAAAACCCATTAGAAAAAAACAATGTTCATTTAAGTGGTAGGAAATAGGGGGGAAGGAGAGAGGACCCCCCCCCCCCAAAATTAAAATGGATTGAATCAGTCAAAGAATCCATGATCCTGAATTTGCAAGACCTGAGCAAGGCATTTCATGACTGGGTCTCTTGGAGGTCCTACATTCATCAGGTTACCATAAGTCGAAGTTAGCTTGACAGCAAATAACAGTTTCAGTGGTTTTCTGGATCCCAAAACATTCTCTTTATGGAAGTCCCCTTGATCATTTTTGTTTCCATTTTAGTAATATAAGTTGCTGTAGAGTCAGAATTGGATATTGGCACAGAGGTTACTCATTTGACATTTCCCCATAAGCTTGTATTATTTGGAAGTTTCACACGTCTAGCTTGACTGACAGCATATTTTGTTGGAACAAGACTCGGCCATTCTTAAATTAGCAGGCTGAAACCAACGGGGAATGTACATTTGTCATTACAAACTAGCTTATTGATATCAATATGGGTATACTCCTAAAATGACTAAGTTGTGATCCATTATTTGTACTTTTTATTTCTGTTATCTTAAGCTGATGCATTTACTCAATCTGCCTTTGTTGATGAAATAGACCATCTGGTGCTGCAAATTGGTGTTCTGAAAACGCTATAAGTATCATCCACTCAGTAACATTTGCCTGTAACTTGACTAATTATTTTGATATGAAATGTGGTTCAGCGTTGGAACTCTATTTTTATTTCCTACCAGGAGATTTCTCCCCTCCTTTCTATGGAAGCCATGGCATTTGTTACAGAAGAAAGAAAATCTGCTCAAGAATCCACTTTTCCAAATACATACACATTTGACTTATTTGGAGGAGTCGATGTAAGTGATTTGTGGGTTCTGCTTTGCCATTAACATCTTCCTCAGAAATAATCAGTGTGTGGGTTTTGCTCAAGATTGAAGTAAGCTCTTTCTTGGCTATTAGTAACGTAGTTCCCTCTAGATCAGTGGTTCTCAACCTGTGGGTCCCCAGATGTTTTGGCTTTCAACTCCCAGAAATACTAACAGCTGGTAAACTGGCTGGGATTTCTGGGAGTTGTAGGCCAAAACACCTGGGGACTCACAGATTGAGTACTACTGCTCTAGATGAAGAGTGTTTATCTTTGGGAAAGAAAAATGTTGTCTCTCTTAGACATAGACTACTGGTAGCCCATGGTCTAAATGTGACCAGAAAAGCAGAAGAGAATGAAGGCCATCCTTACCAATGCAAGAGCATGTCTTTAAACTGAGCTAAAAATGCCGCTGCATTTTAAGCAGTATTCTTCATCAAGGTGTTATGCATTATATTATTTATAGCAAAGTACTTGGGGGGGGGGGGGGAATCTATAAAATACAGAAACGGCACACTTCTAATACACAATAAAGCAGAGGTGAGGGATCTGCGATCTGAAATAGTGTCCTAATTTGGTAAACTACCCAGATTTTGTTCTTAGTTGCTTTTATACTGAGTGGCAATTTAAGTTTATAAAGTAGCAACTTTTTTTTACTGTAACAGGAAAAAGGACAGCCCTATGTGGTAACTGAAGGGTATATTCAATTCTGTGCTTCACTGGATAGCTGTTGAACAAGATTACATACCAAACCATTACCAGTGGCCAATGTTGCTTTATGTTTTGGTTTTGTGTCAGAAAGCATTGCATTTAACTATGCCAGCTGCTACAGTAAGGAGGAAATGATAACTCTGACAAACTATCTTTGCCTCAACTGCTTTCTGAATAATACTGTTTTCTACAATAATTCTACATTTTTCGGTCCAGCTCCTCTTTAGTCTGGTATCAAATTTAAAGAATTAAAAGGTTGCATTTGCAATTTAAGGGAAGGTTAATTGAAAAAAAGAACCAGCATGGAATAGCGGTTTGGATGTTAGGCTAGAACTGTGGGAGATCACAGTGTGAATCCCCACTTGGCCATAGAAACCATACTCTCTGAACGTAAGACAAAGGCAATGGCAAACTTACTTTGACTAAATCTTACGAAGAAAACCTTAGGATCGCCATAAGTTAGCAATAACTTGAAGGGATACAATAGCAACAACACAACACATCCAGAAAATGCACATCCAGATCTTTGTTTTCCTAAAAGGGATTGCTAGGTTATAGTTCTCTGCATTTTTTTCAGGTGTGTTTGATGGGAAGAAGGCCTATTTGATGGTTGCTCTCAGACTTTGTAGCTCTTTTCTTTTAGAGGCTAGCTTAGTTCCTTTTTGCTGTCTTCTGACAGCAGTTGAAACTTTTTATATTCCAATACTATTTACTAAATGAGCGCAGTGAGCTTTTTAATGTGTGTTTTTTATTTGTATCTTTTAATTTAGTGGATTTTAAACGTTTTTAATGTTATAGATTTTTTTCAATTTTGTGTATGTGTATCTGGTGTTTTTCTATCCATTTTATTGTATTTGCTCAAGAATTTTCTAAATTAAGGTCACATACGCTTAAGCTGCTGTATGTGAACATAGTCATTTCGTTCCTCCCTTTGTGCAAGTGATGAACCAAGCCAGGAAACTGATTGACCATAGCTTCCTGTGATCTCTTAAACTGGAACTTTGATGATAGAGAAACCATTATTATAGCGGAGGTGGACATAGTATGATACCCTTGATTTCTTGCCTTTATTTTCCATAATTACTATACTGGCTAGGGCTGATGAGCTTGGAAGACAGAAAACAGCCATAAGACCACTGTTGCCTTACATCTTGGCTTGCTTAGAAGACATTGCCCATAGTTCCCAACTTAGATATAATAAATGTTGATGTTGTGAATCAGTATGGGGTTGTCGTTTGAGTCCTGGACTAAGTCCCTTTGTAACCAGGTTTCAAATCCCACTTAACCATTGGATGGCTGTAGGCAGGTCACAATCTGTCAGCCTTGGAGAAAGGCAATAGGAAATCAACTCTGAACAAATCTTCCCAAGGAAACCATAGGATAGGATCACTAGTATTCGATATCAACTTGAAGACATATCAAGACTTATCAACTATATCCTTGCCAAAATAGCAAGTAGTAGTATACATTGTTAGACTGGTGTAGCCTTCATGGAATCTGATTAAATTAGTCCCTGACTTTACACAGTTGTTCACCTCACCCTGTGAACACTGACCACGTGCATAACAAGAAAACAAACATTTTGTCCTCCTTGTGCATACCTTATGAGTTCACAAGTTTAAGACTTGTGTACAGATTGCAGTTATGAGTAGGTTATGTTTGGACATATCAATTTTATGCACCTGCTCTTGAAATATGACTACTGTTATGAGGAGAAACAGCAGAGAGACACTGGCTGTTTTGTGTAGTATGGAAAAAAGGCACATTGTGTACTTAGTAGTTCGATTAATGCTGAAACAAACCATTCAAAGTTACTATTTAAATAATAGTTACACCATTTTCTATTAAAATATCTAAAGTAATTTCATGTTTCATTCACAGCTACTAGTAGAAATACTTATGAGGCCAACTCTTATTACACAGAAGAAAAAACAGAAAAGTAAGTAAATGCATATCGTCCATAAAGCGATATTTTGATTCTTTTATTTCCCCTTGTATCTTGAAAGATGTATTCACTTATGTAGGATCATATGTTCTTAACTATGTGTAAATATTTCAGTGTTAGGTCAGAATTTCTATGATGCCTTGGGAGTGATAAATTTTAGATTCAAGCCATGTTTTACTGAAGGTTTGAAGAATAAATCCAGTGACTGCATTTTATGTCAGGTGTGGACAGATTTGTACAAATGACTTGTATGCAAAACCCTTTAGTGTAGTGGTTCTCACCCTGTGGGTCCCCAGATGTTTTGGCCTTCAACTCCCAGAAATCCTAACAGCTGGTAAACTGGCTGGGATTTCTGGAAGTTGTAGGCCAAAACACCTGGGGACCCACAGGTTGGGAACCACTTCTTTAGCGGAATACCTCATGCTTAGCTCTATAATTTTAATTTGAACAAAATTGGCTACCTTCTATAATAATGATTGACATATCTTTAGCTGTTAGCCAGTAATGCTGAAAGGTAATGCAGTCCTTCCTTACCACCTGTGTACTGCATATGGCTACCCACCCAGTATTCATTCTTTAACTGTGATAATATTAGGTTTTGCCAGCTGATCTACTTGTTGTTTTATGTATATGTATGTATTTTATATTTTAAATTTATATTTAAATTGTGATATTGTAGTTTTAAATATGCTGTAAACCGCAATGAGTCGCCGTACAGGCTGAGATATGGCGGTATACAAGTGTACCAAATAAATAAATAAATAAATTCTTGTATGTATTGACTGCTGTGTGCATGCTTGCATGCACAGACATCAATTAGAAAATACATTTTTAAAAAAAAGTGTACAGATATAGATGCCAGTTTCAGGGAGTTTTAGGAAGCCCTAACTTGTGTTTCTATCTCTTTCAGTAAGTGATGACCTCATCAAGGATTGCTTAAGTATATTGTACAACACTTGCATATGTGTAAGTCATACACTATGAATCAAAAAGCACCTTCGCTTCATGTTACATGTAGGTTTAGACTAGCAGTTCTCAATGTCTGCTCTGTGGAGCATACTGAGAGGCTCCTCAGTTTTCTCCTCTTCCTCTCTCCTCCTCCTTTCCCTCCCCTTTCCTGCTCTTCCCCCTGCCTCCCTTGCCTCCAAAAGCCTTTTTCCTTCACTTTCCTTGCTTCCAAAACCCTTTTTCCTTCCCACCGCTCAGAGGGTGCTGATTGGGCTTTTCCTGAGTGGCAGAGGAAGATTGGACTGGATGGTCCCTGGGGTCTTCCACTGAAAAACTATAAAATTTATGTTGGTTAAAATTGTTCTTCATTTTAAATATTGTATTATTTCATTCGATTTCCTTTTTTGTACTTTATAAACGAGATATGTGCAGTGTGCATTGGAATGTGTTCATGTTTTTTTCAATTACTTCATCCATTTGCCACGGGCCCGGCCTGTCTGTCAAATTTCAAAAGGTTTGCCCATGCCAGATATATCTACATTGTATGTAATAGAATATATAAACATTTCTTGGGACTCCATGAGAAACTTTTGCTTCAAAAATGACTCCGCGACTGAAAAAGTTTGAGAACCCCTTGCTTAACTATTGAACCAATTGAGTAATGTGATACACATCAGTAATCCTGATATGAACCCTTCAGTAGCATTTCATTTAATTCAATTTATCTGTAAAATTATTACTAATTATTTTTATCCAAAGTTTTGGAGATATTTTAATAATGATTTTGTTGTTAATTGCTGAAATCCATGCTCAGTAATATGGTGCTGGTCTATGGCAATTTGATAGCTTATACCAGGAAGATCAAACATATATTAAACTATATATTTATAAAATGCGTCTTTCATACATCCAGTGCTTTGTATGTTTATCATTTTAGTATTTTAATTTGTCCTTTTAGTATTTAGTATTGCTGTGTGTTCTAATCCCATTAAAGATTCTCATTCAGACTTTTTATTGGCCTAAATTTAGCACTGACATTTTGATCCACTTTTAGTTCTGATCTGTAAATACAGTAACACCCCCATATGTGAGGATTTACAACCAGACTATGGTTACCTGAAACCATGGATATGAGTATACACTTATTAAATTACCCGACTTCTAGTCTGGGCATACAATAGATCAGCTGTCAAGAACCTAGGAATTTGTGAGGTTTTCTAGGGCAGCTGTATGGTAACATTTTGGAGAAGCATACCATATAACTGCCAGGAGGACCTAGTAAATATGTAGAGATATTTTTCCCAAAGTGTAGGAAAGTGGAACTGGAGGTATGGGTTCTGTGGTACAGGGTCCTACTGTATTACGTAACAGCAAAAGTTGGTATATTTATATGTCATGTCTTCCTTTCTCATTTGTGCAGACGGAAGGAGTCACTAAACGATTGGCAGAAAGGAATGACTTTGTATTGTTTTTGTTTACATTAATGACAAACAAAAAGACTTTTCTGCAAACAGCTACTCTTATTGAAGACATTCTGGGAGTGAAAAAGGTTTGTTAATAAGCGTATATGACTGTAATTAATCTTGATAATGTGACTGTTTGAAAGGACGTGTAAAGAATTGTAGACATTTACCAGGCACATCAGATATTTTTATCAAGATTTGCTTGATAATTCTCCACATTCACGGTTGATAAATTTAACTCCCAGACTGAGATCTTCTGGTGTGAAAGAGTCAAAATTTTATTAAAGACCTCAAAATAAGATTATCAAACATGCATAAACTTTCTCGTGGCTTGCCATGTGTTTTCTTAGGGAAGAATTAAGTTTGTCATACTGTCAGCAGTGTATTACAGCTACTGTTTGAAGCTGAATGGAATGGATGATGTTTTGGATTATGTTTATTTTGTCAAGTAGTGCTGACCTTAATAAATGAGGATTGGAGGTAAAGCACAGCATTTTAAAATGGGAGAAGAGAGCAACATGAATTTGTGGGGAGGAGAAAAACATCATGATTGGGTCAAGTCCATATAGACAGAAATATATTTTGCTGGTATAACTTCCTCAGATATGTACAAAATATGATCATTGAGTTGTAGAGTTTTCAGGCTATATGACCATGTTCTAGAAGCATTCTTTCCTGATGTTTCGCCTGCATTTATTGTGAGGTTGTGAGGTCTGTTGGAAACTAGGAAAAACTGGTTTTATATATCTGTGGAGTGTCCAGGGTGGGAGGAGGGACTCTTGTCTGTTGGAGTTAGGTGTGAATGTTTCAGTTGGCCACCTTGATTAGCATTTGGTGGCCTTCGACAATACAAAATATGATCAATGTATTGTCAAAGGCTTTCCTGGTCGGAATCACTGGGTTGTTGTAGGTTTTTTTCGGGGTGACCTCACTACCTCTGAGGATGCTTGCTGTAGATGCAGGCGAAACATCAGGAGAGAATGCCTCTAGAACACAGCCATAAAGCTCGAAAAAACCTACAACAACCCACAATAGGATAAGTTTTTAAGGAAATCTGTGATGGCTTGAAAGTGCATAACAAAGAAAACTGAAATGAAAGTGTTTATTTTAAATTTTGTTACCCTCCTCTGAAGATCTTCTAAAGTATAATCAATTTAAATCTAGAGCAGTTTTAATAAATAAGATGAATTAACAATCAGCATGTAAAATATCTCATTTTAGGAAATGATACAACTGGAGGATATTCCTAGTCTCTCCAGTCTAGTCTCTAGCTTTGATCAACAGCAACTTGCAAACTTCTGCAGAATCCTTGCAGTTACAATTTCAGAGCTTGACACAGGCAGTGATGATAAGCATACGCTACTAGCAAAAAATGCTCAACAGAAGAAGAACTTAGGTCCTTCTCGGGCTGAAATTAATCAAGGTAAATATCTAACATTCGATTTTTGATTTTATTGTGTTGTATCATGTTATTGTTAGCCACCTTAAGTCTCTATTGGGAGAAAGGCGAGATAGAAATAAATATGATGATGATAATTTGAGAACTTTTCTTCTCTCTTGGGCTTAATTTGTTTCCAGTATTGTCCCATTTCTCCTTGTCCTCCCTAGAAACTAAGTGTAGAAGCTGCACATGAAATCCAGTCTCCAGTTCCCAGTATTCAAAGCAATGATACACTGAAAAGTCCTGAGTGTTAGGGAAAACTACCCTAAAATATAGCAGAGCATCCAAAAACAAACAGCATACAAAGTTGAGAATCACCTCATTAGTGAGCAAAGCGTGAAGTGCCATGTGATGTGGCTGTAAAGCATTTAGAGCTTAAGTAGGCAAGAGTTCTATCTTTAAAATCACAAAAGGTTTATTTGCAATGATAAAGAACTAATTACATTTCTTCATGATAAAGAACTGAGTCTGAGGTACTCTAACACCCATTTCTTCAAAGGTTTCAAAGAGAGGGAAGAAACACCAGTCACTACATCTCTCTGACACACACGCAGAGAGAGATCTCAAAGCACATAGCACATATCCTCCATACAAAAGTGTAAGAAGGCAGAAGGCAGATTCAAAAAAACTTGCAGTAGAAAAGTACCCATTCTACACAAACAATCAGAATGAGGGCAGAAACAAAGAGGTGAGAGCAAATGGATTCATTCCCAACTGTCATTCAGGAGACTTGGTGGAAGGGCAACTCACAGACTATTTTAAATTGTTCCTCATTGAGGACTTGAGACTTGAATTCCAACACAGAGTATAAATTAATATCTACTTGAGAAAAAAACTAAACTTGATATTGTTAGTCATATATAGAGTTCCTAACAGTTTAGTATGTTAAAAGCAATGTTCTTTATTTCCTGTCATAGCTACACTTCTGAATATACCAGGCTTCATTGAACGATTGTGTAAACTAGCAACCAGGAAAGTATCAGAAACAGCAGGAGCTTCCAGTTTCCTCCAGGAATTGGAAGAATGGTACACCTGGCTAGATAATGCACTCGTCATTGATGCATTAATGCGTGTGGCAGATGAAGAGACAGAGCAAAGCAGCACAGGTATCTACTTTGAAATTAATGGGCTAGAACAGCTTTGAATATAGAAGAGCAAAATCATTTAGTTTTATTACTTTCCATCTCATATATGCATCAAGTTTTGAAAAGAGGATCTATGATGCATTAAAAAAATTAAATCAAGTATTCATAAATCATATTGAAACAAAAAATAAAGGAGTTGAGTGACATTTTGCCATTCAGTAATTATTCTCCATTATAATGTATGTTTTGAACAACTGCTTTAATTTTCTCATTATGTTTACATATTTTTTTCTCTGTGTAACCACACTTTTTATATGTCTAGTTTTCCCTGTGATGAGAGCCAGATTTGTATCCCAATGATCAGGTTCTCATTTAATTATGTCTATTAGTTTAGATGTTTAAATAATTAATGTGGGCCTAAGACACTATGATTTTTTTAAAAGTGCATTTGATATACATTTGTATGCCCAAATAATTTGCCTTTGTAGGCAGAGAAAATTAGATACATCTGATGTGGGATTTTATTATATCACCGCTTTGGCATTTTAATACTTAAATGGGAGCATATACCTATTTATTTATTTATTTATTATATTTATAGCTGTTGTCCACAAAAAAATTCTGGGTAGTATGAGCCTTTTGTATTTCATCCAATAAAGAAATGTTTTGAAGCTATCAACTTCTTGTAAAAGCTGCCAACCTGAATGTTTTCGTGTCTTTTAGAATCTTCAGATGAGAGTGGATTTCCCAGCACCCCGACAAGGAATCAGCTTCCACACTCAATGAAGATTATGCATGAGATCATGTATAAGCTGGAGGTTTTATATGTTCTCTGCGTGCTTTTAATGGGCAGACAAAGGAATCAGGTGAGAATCAATTCTCAAACGTTCAAATACATGAAGTAAAGTGTAACAGCAGCATTTTTGGAAAGTCAAATGGCGGTCTATTTAAAATGTACATACATATTGAGATGCTTGAGAAACATCAAATACAGATTTCTAAATGTCTGCATAGTTTTGAACTATTAAGAATGTACTGTATTAATAATTCATTCTTAGGCATAAAGAATGTACTCTAAAGTCAATAACTATTGATGTATTGCATACCTTCTTACACAACAGCTTGAATGCTGTTGTTTTGTTACTTGTGAATGATAGTTTCAGGCCATTCATTTGCCACTGGAAAGGGGTATAAAATAGACATATGGCAATACAAGTATCGAGTTACTGTTTTATCCAGTGAGCACAATATTATAGTTTATGCTTACATATGTTGGTGATAGGAGTAATTTTGGAATTAATAAATCCACATTAGAAAACATCAGATTAAAATACTGAATGTGATTGATTAGTGTAAAGAAGTGGGTAGAAAATGTTATCTTAGGAAACCTGTACATGTTTCCCATCTATCTGAGTGAAACGTGCAGAACAGAAGTGTGTATGTTTATCATCCCAAACTGAAAAAAGATATTTTAAGGAGATAACTGTATTATATATTTGTTATTTATGTTTGTGTGTCCCAGGTGGGTCTTTTTCTAGAAAGATGAAGGGGAAAGATTTAATGAATACATTGCCAAAACGTTAGGAGCAAGTTCAAAGAGTTTATCTGCTAGCGAATCTTGATAATCTTCCTTGTAAATGGGACACCTGCAAATGTATTGAAAAGCTTGATTGGTTTGAAGAAAACTGTCACCTGTACATGTGCAGGGTTGTTTACTCTAGTGACAGATGATGCAGATTTGGGACATTAACGGAACATTCCTTCTGCCTAGGTTCACAAAATGATTGCAGAATTCAGATTAATCCCTGGCCTTAACAATTTGTTTGATAAATTGATCTGGCGGAAGCATTCGGCATCAGCTCTTGTTCTACATGGGCATAATCAAAACTGTGACTGTAGCCCGGTGAGTATTGGTTATATGGATGGTATTGGGAAAAGATCCACAACCTTTCTAGGTTTATGGCTGCACTTCGAAATTTGAAAAGCATGGACACTACTTCAAAAATTCTGGAGGCCAAGAATTCTTAGCTTTAGAAATTAGAGTTAAATATGGTGCAACCTTAAGAAGAAATTGTGCTCTGCTTGTTCAGTATTGTCTCATGATTAGATAAATTCATTTTAAACTTATTTATTGTAATTTATAGGCCTTTATATCTGTAAATGTTTCTCGTCAGGACTGTTCAAAACTTCTTACGGCTCTCTTTCACTCTTTCAATTCTGTGCTTGTATATTTATTGTCAAGAACACATTCCAGGCTCTTATCTACATAGGTGTAGATTCATGAACCAAAGCTCCTGGTTTTAGCCCACTTTCTGCTAGTTCACTGTATTCCCAAACATAAAAAATGAATATACTCTTGTGTATACTCTTTATGGGCTTCCAGTAGGAACGTCTTAGTTTTGTACCATGAAAAGTCTTAGTTTAATCCAGTTAAGCTCTTCCTATCTTCTTAGAAAATGGATGCAAAAATAGCACCCAAGCAATAGCAACGAAATAATCATTGTGGGCTTCTGGCTCTTGGAGCCACCACAGTGGTGCATTGTTGCCTTCAGGAGAAGCAATGTACATTCAGGATTGAGAGGGTACATGTTTCTACCTCCCACGTCCCCTTCTTATTCAGCAGGTACATGGGAGCCACTTGGCTCTCATCTTCAGGCAGCCATTGGAGAATCAATGGCTGCCGATCCAGTTCCGAGCACAATTAAAAGTGCTGGTTTTGACCTACAAAACCCTATACGGTTCCGGCCCAGTGTATCTGTCCAAATGGATCTCCCTCTACGTCCCACCCCGGAGTCTAAAACCTTCTGGGGAGGCCCTGCTCTTGACCCCGCCTCTATCACAAGTGAGGTTGGCGGGGACGAGGAGCAGGGCCTTCTCGGTGGTGGCCCCCCACCTATGGAATTCACTCCCCGGGGGAAATTAGATCAGCGATATCCCTCCTTTCCTTTAGGAAAAAACTGAAAACATGGATTTGGGACCAGGCATTCAGACAATCGGGCAGATAAAGAAAGGACTTTGACAATGGTTAGGAAATGACTAATGGAATGGAACTATGGAACTCTGAAAGACGAAACGCTGAGCATGAGAATAGTTTTATATGATGTGTTATATACATTGTTTTAATTGTTTTCACTGTGATAATTGTTTTAACTATGTTTTGTACATTATGTATAATTTGTATAGGCATCAAATTGTGCCTTTTTGTAAGCCGCCCTGAGTCCCCCCTCGGGGGTTGAGAAGGGCGGGGTAAAAGTACCCAAAATAAATAAATAAATAATCATCAGATTACACTACTCAGATAGCAAGAGCCCTTCAAGGAATACCAAATATAAAGTATGCCTCTCAAAATAAACATTAACAGAACAACTGTCCAGTGCTATATTGTAAGGATATCCATAAAATATTTCTTCTCCAGTGGCTAGTGTCAAACACATCAGGCCCTGAATTCCATATATATTTTTAAAATAGTGCTTTATAACAATTTGAGTTTTTCACCAAACCCCTAGTAATGATATCCTATAAAAGGTATTTTAATTGTCGTTCCTTTTCTTCTTTAGGATATTACCTTGAAGATCCAGTTTTTGAGATTGCTTCAAAGTTTTAGTGATCATCACGAGTGAGTATAAAGGGTGTTCACTGTAAATATTTTTATATACTTTCATTGAGTAAACATCAGACTTTATTTGAATATGTAGACGACCCTATCCCAAAATACGTATAGCTAAATGTTTGTGCTAGGCTTGCAAGGAACAAAGACATTTTTAAACGATCTGGATTTATGGAACATGTTTTTGAAGATGATCTCTTGAGACAAAAGGACATGTGGAAGCTACTGCCTCATAGGTGTAGCTCAAATATAAATAGAGACCAGCAACTATATAGAAATATGCAAGAAAGAACACATTGGAGTCTTTGTGAGCACTGAATGCTTATAGGGAATATTGTCAAAAATGATCTAATGTTAGGTATATTTTTTTCTGTGACTGTTTATTTTTTCACACCCCACTGCCACATCTCCTACTTCTAGTAAAATGACCAAGACTCAGAGTGTTCAGAAGTAACTGAAATGGTATGTGGCAAGCAGGTTTGAGGTACCGTTGGTACTGCTGGGATTTTAAAAGGCTGTACATTTGCTGAGCTCCCTCGTTGAGCCAATGTGAAGTAAGAGCTCTGAATTCCTAGGAACTCCTATCAGCCACAGTGACATTGACTCCAATGTGTTCTTCCTGTAAAATGAGTTTGTATACCATGGGAATTTGACAAGGTTAAAGGGTTTTTTAAAGGACTTTGTGAAGAGACTTAGATGTGCTCAATCTTCCTGTTCTGATTTTCATAATAGGAACAAGTACCTGCTTTTGAACAGCCAAGAGCTTAATGAACTGAGTGCAATTTCCCTCAAAGCTAACATTCCTGAAGTAGAGGCCGTTGTGAACACAGACAGGTAAGGAGATGGGCATGCATGCCCATGTACATTATTATTTGTTTCTGAAAAGGCCATTGCCTGTATTCCATTTTTGTCAAACCTGCCTTCTTAGAGTCCTGTGATCACTTACTAAATTTAGATAGTATGTTGAAATCTTAATGCCCCAGATAAGAGTAAGTAGCTGCATCTGTCAGAGGTGCATATCAAGTAACTAGATAGTCCCTTAGATTGTTTATAGCCACCTATATTTTGTCCTCTGTTCCCATTACTGAAGTATAACAAAGATAAAATCCCCAATAACTTTAAACTCCCAGCACTTTAAAATTAATTAGGCTGATTATTTCTCTGTTGTCTTCTTTGCATGTCTTTCATTTTTGCAACAAGGGAGTTTGGAGCAATAGTTTTATGTGACTTTAAAACAAAAACCAACAGTAGGTAAAACAAATATCTTACAGGACGAACTTTGGGAGGTTGCATATTAGGTGCAAACAAAAAGCAACAAGCCCAAATATATGCTTGCACAGCTAGCCCTCTATTCATTTGGAGTCCTTGTTAGATAAGTGTGAATAGGACAGCAGACTAGACCTGTCTGAAAAGAAACATGTATATGAGGGTCTTAAATTCAAATGCTCTTAAGATTTTGGCCTGCTGAAATTGTTTGAGATTCATTTAGAATAAAATAACCAGCAGAGGGGGCTAGACTGCTGTGTTGTAAGGATTACAGTACATTGAAATATAAGAGCTGTATTTTGTCCTGGCTTTGCAAGAGCTGATAGTGTGTTTGATTTCTGTGTAAAACTGGGCAATGTGTTAAGATTAGAGTGAAAGCACTAGACCTTTGAGTTTCCCAATATAATCAGTTGTGATTTATTCTCTGAAAATTCTTTCCATATTTTAGAAATTTAGTTTGTGATGGAAAAAGAGGCTTGCTAACAAGATTACTGCAGGTAATGAAGAAGGAGCCAGCAGAATCCTCATTTAGGTGAGTTTCCATCCTCGAGCCTTAAGGAATGTGTTGCATTGAACCTGATCTTCAAGGCCAGAGAGAGAATGATTCATTACTTGCTATTGGAAGATTTCAGACACTCTGTATTTTGGTCACTGAAGCAAAGAAAATGGATGCAAACAGTACCTAGGAGCAGGAACTCTCTGTTCCTGTTCCATAGCACTCAAGTTCCATGGTCTCTAACGATAGTTCTCAGTTGTCAAACCTTTGTATCCAAAACATTGATAAGATCCAAGTGTGTGGACAGAACCCCTGCCCCCCCCCCCCCCCCCCCCCCCCCCGGAAACTGATAAGGCATTTAAATTGAATAGCTCTTATGTATTGGAACTGCTAAGATAATTAATGAAGTCCTGTATACAAACCTTCCTGTGGATGCTCAGTATCTCCAGTATATGCTCATTATTTCTGTGAATGAAGATTGAAGAAAGAAAACTTCTTTTTGAAATAATCTTCCAGAGATACCAAATTTATTTTATTCAGTTCTGAGAAAATATAGATAGAAAGGATATTTTGTTACTTTAACCTGTAACTAGCCAAATGACCTGTTCCTAACAGTATTTAATTTTTTTCTGCTTTCCAGGTTTTGGCAAGCAAGGGCAGTTGAGAGCTTCTTAAGAGGTGCTACTTCCTATGCCGATCAGATGTTCCTGCTAAAAAGAGGGCTTCTAGAGGTAAGATAATCCAACCTTGGACTTTTTATACAGTGTGTACTTTATAATTTCCTGTGGGGTGGGAAAATGTTGACCTTCCAGATCTTGGGCATTGTAGACCTTGGTTTGTTGGTTGAGGTAAAATGGATTCATTATATTTTTGGAGGGTTACAGGTTTCCTGCTCCTAATTTGACTTAATTTTTGAAGTTCATCACTTTTTGTTTATTTATTTATTTACCGCATTTATATTCCACTCTTCTCACCCCAAAGGGGACTCAGGGCAGATTACAGTGTACACATACACGGCAAACATTCAATGCCATTTTTTACATATAAGACATAGAGACAGAGGTCATTCAGCAGTTTTTCCACTTCCACTTTGGATCCTGGAGGTTGCCCAGGGGAAGCTATCACTTTATCCACTATGACACTGAGCCTTTTGATTGTAGTATTTCCTTCTTGCTCTCCTGCATTCTTATGGTGTCATAAATTATCCTCCCTGCTTTAAGTGGTCCCTAATTTCTCTACTCTTAGCAGAATTGTTTTCAAACTGCTTAGGTGAACAGTAAGCTGGGCTATTTAGCAATTGGGAGCTCAACGCTAACCCAGGTTTCAAACTTGCCACCTTTTGGTTGGCAGTGATTTATTGCTGCTAGCGATTAACCAGCTGTGCTACCAGCCCAGCTTCACTGTGTTTTCTCATTTCTGAAACTATAGTTATAAATGGTCACACTTTACATCTGTGAAAACATAGTACCTTCAAGTAACAAACTTTGGTAGGGAAGGCTGCTTGATTATCAGTAAAATGTGAAAGTTAGATATCCAAACCATGAATTCATCTTTATTCTATGTGTCGCATTTCACTTTTTACCAGCATATTCTCTACTGCATTGTTGACAGCGAGTGCAAGTCACGAGATGTGCTTCAAAGTTACTTTGACCTGTTGGGGGAACTGATGAAATTTAATATAGATGCCTTCAAGAGGTTCAATAAATACATTAATACAGATGAAAAGGTAAAATGAAAATCCCCCAAATCCCACTTGTGAAACTTCAGTTCTGTATTAACTTTGTATTCTGGACAGAATCTAATGAATGCTCTTCCTTCAGTTTCAGATATTTTTGAATCAGATCAACAGTTCACTGGTTGATTCCAACATGCTAGTTCGATGTATCACATTATCCTTAGATCGATTTGAGAGCCAGTCAGATATTAAAGGTAATACCACAATCATTTTTGAGGTGAAGAAAGAATTTCAAAAATAAGAGCAAGTATGTTTTTAAAGCTTTCTTTGCAAGGAATGTTTAGTCCAGCCCTCAAGGCTAGATGCCCCAGGTATGCCTTGCAGTATGTTTTGCCTGCCTTTAACCCAGACCTGTACAACATTCAGGCTAGGGGCCAGATGTGACCCTCACAAAGCTTTGGTGCCATCCGCAGAGACTCTGCGCCTAAGTCTTTGAGCGGGGGGTTGCATGCAGCACTACAGCAGAGTAGCAATTGGAACCTGTCATTCCCTTCTCCAGGTATTTTACCTCAACATGTTTCCTTTCTCTATGCATCGAAGTCACCAAACTAACCTGTGGCAAAGGAGACGCCACCGGTCAGAATGCTTGAAGTGCGGGTTTTAGTTGGAAACGTGGCCTCGAAAGGTTATTGGACTAAGGGGTAGCGTAGCGGGGAACAGGAATGAAATTTTCAGGGCTATCGGATTTTTTTAAAGAATTTTGAGATCCAAGTTACATTAAAATTTAACATTAGATTGGCCATTTTAGAGGGGGGGGGGTAGTTATGAAGAAGTTCCTCGGCTCTCACCTCCGACATTCTTCCTTTTTCTGTACCTCTGGTTGCCCCTTTCTCCTCATAAAATCATAGAGTTGGAAGAGACCTTGTGGGTCATCCAGTCCAACCCCCTGCTAAGAAGTAGGAAAATAGCATTGAAAGCACCCCTGACAGATGGCCAGATTTGCTTCTCATCCAGCAGCAAAACCTCCAACTCCACATCATTCATTTCATGAGGGAGAAACATAGCTTCACCATGAAATTGTTGCAGCACCTTCAGGGTGAAGCTAAGTTTTCTCTCACATGCAAGGGAAATTAATGGTGCAGAGTTGGCAGTTTTTCCCTCCGGAGGAGAAGGAGATGACCGAGGCAACCAGAGGCAAAGAGAAAGGGAGGGCAGAGGAGGCAAGAACTGAGGCAGTTCTTTCCCTCAGAAAAGGATTATAACCTGCCAACATGCTGAGGGGAGGCAAGGAAATTGAGACTATTCTGCTTTGCTGCTTGCTCTGATGGAAAAGGCGTCCTCTCACAAACCGGAGTGAGGCACTAAAAACCTATCTGCAACCCCAGGAGGTTTAGCTTGTTTAATTTCAGCCCCTTACTACTGCCAGGTTGTGCAGTCCTGTTTTAACCTTTCCTGATACAGAGAATATCAAACTGTAGGAAGATTATCAGCCATTTCCATGTGGCCAAGAGATGTGTAGAGATAAGTTATTTATATGGTTAGTATTTTTTAGAAAATGTTGCAATGTCAAGGCTATTCTTCAAACCTCCAAAGCACAAGGTCTGCCTAACATTTAATGCTAATATGGGGAAGTGTTCAAACAGGACAATCCAATTTTCTTCATTTGGCTGTTCAAAACCTAATAATTATTTGTTTTGTTCAGTTGCAGAGGTCTTGTCTGAGTGCCGCCTGTTATCCTACATGTCACAGATGTCCATGAGGATGTCCTTCCTTTTCCGGCTCATTAATATTATTCATGTACAGACACTTACACAGGTAAAGACCTGGCACTGAGGTCCCATGGATCACATATGAATAATTCATAGCTTGATATTACACAAGTCAATATCCTTTGGAGTCTCGAGTCCAAGACAGGCCCTGGAAATTCCTTTTAATACAGCATTGTATCTTTACTTACAAAAGTTTAATTTTATTCTTATTTTATTTTGTTTTTCATATAGGAAAATGTAAGCTGTCTGAACACCAGTCTAGTAATTTTAATGCTGGCCCGAAGGAAAGACAAGTTGCCATTCTATCTGCGTACACTTCAAGAGATGGAATATACAAAGAAATACCCCGGCTTCATCCTCAATAATTTCCATAGTCTTCTTCGTTTCTGGCAACAGCATTACCTCAATAAGGACAAGGATAGCACCTGCTTAGAAAATGTATGTCTGCAATCTTTGCCTCAATCCATTTTTGTTTTCTGATTGTGACCGGGTATGCTTTTGGGGCCATTGCAATATGTTGGCAGATTAGTTTGTCAAGCTGTATTTTGCAATGTGATAAGCAACCTTATCACATTGCAAAGAAGCTCCTTCTTTGGAGGCTTTTAAACAGAGGCTGGATAGCCATCTGTCAGGGGTACTTTGTGCTTTTCTTGTGTGGCAGGAGGTTGGACTTCATGGCCCGTTTGGTCTCTTCCAACTTTGTGATTCTAACCATTTTAGATGGATGTGTTTTAGCTCTCAGTTACATAGAAAGACATGTGGGGCATTTCATTTTTTCCCTGTGGTAGCCAGAATCATTCTAGTGTTTTGATCATCCTGAGAATTGTTAATAGTGACTAGACCATTTTCATCCCCAGACTTATGTGTTGTCCAGGTGGAAAGCTTGTGTTAAATATAGGTCTGAAATTTGTTTAGCAGTGCAAGTATTAAAAAGAAATTCTTGAACATAAGAGCTGTTCAGCAGTGGAAAACTCTGCCTCGGAGTGTGGTGGAAGTTCCTTCCTTGGAAGCTTTTAAACAGAAGCTGGATGGCCATCTGTCAGTGGTGTTTTGATTGTGCTTTCCCTGCATGGCAGGAAGTTGAACTTGATGGTCCATGCGGTTTCTTCTAATTCTATGATTCTCTTATTTTATGAAGTAGTAACTACTTTGTCATGCAGCAGCCTGATTAGCCTGGAAGGTGCCTTATGCCACATGGCACAATATTTTCCATGGAAATGTATTTTAAGGCCATTTAAGTTGCCTTTCAGAGCACATAAGGCAGCTTTCAAGACCATAAAATACAATTTACAGGTATCTTCTCTTGGTAATGGTATTTTTCCTTTGGTGGAAAAGATACAGAAGGCATTATTATTATGGGGTTCATAATGGCATGTGATTGGTCATTATAGGAATTGGATACTTTCTAAGTGGACATTCCGGTACAATGCTGCAGGTGTCTTCTATGTGATCTTATCAACAATAAATACAGACTGATGCTGTTTGCAGAATTTCTGCATCCCAAGAAGCTTTGCTTTCATTTCAAAATACAAAGTCAAATAGTAGCACCGAATAGAAAGGAAAACAAAAACATTAAATGTAATGATATGCTGAAGTGTAGCAAGAAGAGTCTAGAAACATGTCTTTAAAAGATTACTAACTGAGCTGACTTGAAAAATGTTGGATCTGATTTTGAGATGGAAGTAGAAGTCATATGTGATTTCTAAGGTTGCACCGGGAATTAGTGCAGCTGGATATCACTTTATTTGCCAAAGCTCAATACACTGGAATCATGGGACTTGTTGTTTTACAAGTTCTTGAGCCTTCTCTGCCTAAATTTCCTGGTGCCTGAATTCCAGAGCATTGATCCATAGCAGTTAAGGTGGTGTCTGAGTTCCACAGAATTCTTCAGGGTCCTGTGTTAAGTATTGCTGTTCTTGTCTTTCCTACCACCAGTATCTCAGCTACTCATTTCTATTATAACCAGTTCTCAGACAGTTCTTGTAAATGCTTGTGTACAGCATTTCTGAAAGCAGAATGGGTTTAAGGTGTGCTTGCAAGTGCCCCTGGTCTCTCTTTGTCTCTGAATCACACAGCTGGGGTTTAAATGATATAATATGCAGAATTTTCTGTATCTCTAGGCAAAAGTTTTGGCAATAACCCCACTCACCCTCTGAATGAGTTTGATCTCAACTTGATAAAAGATGGGCATAGGATTTGGTATCCGTTTGGTCTTCTTGGTCTTTTCTGTTGTTCATTTATGCTTTGTTATAGCCTAAATTTTGTGTTTTCCTTCAACAGAGTTCATGTATTAGTTTTTCCTACTGGAAAGAGACTGTTTCTATACTGCTCAGTCCAGACCGGACATCACCTTGTGCCATAGTTAGCTACATTGACGAGGCATATATGGACATTGACAGAGAATTCACTGAGGAGTGATTCTTCAGCTTCTGGCTTCCAGTGGACTGTGCTTCAGAAGGAATCTTGCAGACAGACTGATTTTTCAGGGATATGCTACATGCACAAGCTTTGGGGCTATGGAATGTCACCATGTTGAGTTTGTTTTCCACCCCTCCCCGGCTCCGTTTGGAAGAGCAAGACGTCACAAACTTCCCCAGCAACATATTCAGGGACACTCACGTGCTGCAAGAAACTCTGCAAGAAAAAGCCCAGCCTTTCCCTGCTCATTGAGGCTAGAACTCCACGAGTCTGAGAGATGGGATCCTTCAAGTGTGCAGTGGTTAGCTGTGGCTTTTCCTTCCAATTACCAGAATAAGATGTTACAAGCAACTTTCTGGGCAATTCAGACAAGTCGGTTTTATGGTATGGTACATACCAAATGCACACCAGCCACATCTCGGCCGTCCTTGAAAGGTTTTTTCTCATGGGTTTCTTTTTCCCTTCGGATGGGATTTTGAGCTGCTTGTTTGTAGGTTTTGGTTTAAAATTCATGATGAAAGTGGCTGTCTGAGCCTCAGCATACTACTTCCAGACTGTTTGCTTCCTACAAAACTGTGTTCGAACACCTTTTTCTGTGCTGTGGTACTGCGAACAGAAGTACCTATTTGTGTCTGATGGACCCCCCCCCCCCCCCCCCCGGTTAATTTTACAGTGTTGTCTAAAGCAGGCATACATTGTGGTGATGGATTTAATCTGAAAGCCTAGTTTTAACTAGGTACTAATAAATTAAAACTTACTCAACATTTTTAAAATGCTGCAGCCTGACCATTTTTGTCAGTAAAGAACCAATAGAGCTTGAAACCCTCCTTCCAAAATCTTACTTTAACGGAAGAGTCATGCTTAACCTCAGTCTGGGAACCTGATGCCATAGCCTCCAATGACTAAATTATTCTGATGTCTTTTATGTTCCTGTGGTATAATAGCTACTGGAAGGTTCCATTCTTTTTCTATCGACACCTGTATGAAATGCTGCATGTTGTATTTTATAAGAGATGAGGTACTCGGCAAAACTGGAGCTTGCTCTTGTAGCCGCCAGCATTTAAACAAGGCACTGATTTTTGAAGTCAGAAACTTTCTGGAATGAACGTTTCATTGCAATACTGTGCTAAAGCACTTTATAGGGTTTATGAAGCATTATCAATCCTATCTTCTCATTTTGAATTACTCTGATCGTCCCTTAATTGTGTACATATATAGTTCTGAAGCAATTTACATACCACAAAATATGGCCCTGCAAAGCCTTGTGTTTGAACGTTAAGTCTTTGTGGTATTTTTATTCTGACACAAAGCTTTTCCCTAAAGAAAAAATTCAATGGCAGGATCCGCTTAGTTACGTCAGCAATTTTCAGTCATCCACATGAAACTGGCAATGGCTGGAACTGAGTGCTATTTTGCCTCATCTTTGTTCTTCCAATGTTTTATTTATGGTATAGCTGTTGGAAAGAAGTGCTATTGTTCTTACCCAAATACTGTCTTCATTACCACAGTATTTACCGAGAGGAAAAACTAAATATTCTCACCTCCAAGATAAATTATATATTACTATTCTATCACACAGGCCTAGTTGCTCTTTGGTTTAAAGAGTCCAACTGGTTGTTGATTCATTGATACAACAAGGCAGCACTTTATTAAAGACTAAAATCCACATCTTATCCATTTTTGGATTTTTTGAACAGTACATTGGAATCCTGGGGGCTAATCATGTATCTGCAACTGATGCTTGGACAAAATCTCAATGATAAATTTATGTTTTTACTATACAGCTTAACCACGTGCATCAGAAAAGGAATTAATCTGGACATCTTTGAATTAATAGTAATTATTACAACTAAACAGCACTGCCATAAGTTTGCAAACTAAAACCTCATTTTCATTGGTATATATTTCTTTGCCATTCAATGGTCAGGCTGCTTTTGTTCTCAATACATTTGGCTTGTGTGAGACTGACCTCACTAGTGAAAATTCCTCACCTGCTCCTAGGACATCTTTGGAGCCATCATGGTCTTTATTTCCAAATTACTGACATAAGCAATTCCAAAGGATGGAACTGATTTTTTTTTTACTCAGTTTGCATTCCTTGCTTTCTAATTCTTATGCGGGAACCTGTGCCCCTGAGATTTCTTGCCACGGCTTCTCCTGTGGAACCTTCTCTGCAGATGTTTAGAGACTACAGCGATGGGCTTGGATACAATGCTAACTGGTCCAAGGTTTGTAGCAATGGTTGATACTTATCTGTTACTAAACAAAAAAGAAAGAGGTCACTAATGGCTGTGTGTTGGTGTTACCTTGGATTTGAAATCATTAAAGTAACATAATTGATGTGTGACAAAAAGGTGGACTCCACCAGTCCAGAAAATATTCCTGGAATTTTTAATGTTTATGCTGCCCAGATTAATGCTGATTTACTAACAGCACATAAATGTATTAAATGGAACCTATTAAAAGAACTTTATTTTAAAAAATATACCCTGAAACATGTTTTCTTTACTTTTGTCAGCAGTGTACATGGTGAGCTTTGTACAGAGGATGTCGGCTGGTTAAGTGGTGGTGTGTTTCTGATGTAAGGCAACCATATCACATCATTTTCTTGGCAATATTTGTTCAGAGGGGGTTTGCCTTTGCTTTTCTCGGACGTTAAGAGTGTGACTTGCCCAAGATTACATACTGAGTTTCCAAACCCTGTTTTCAAAGTGCCCTAGTTCAATGCTCAATCCAGTATACTATGCTTGCTCTTGGGCTTAGGTATTAGAGGTTCAAAATAATCAGGTCCCTTGGTTGATGTAAGCACTAGTTACACGAGTATAGGGAATTTTAAGTTTGGAGCAGTGCAGAATGAACTATCAAATAACTATTTCAACAGTGCCCTCCTCTAACAACTTGTAAAATGAAGACTCAGCTTCACTGACCTCAGCCATGGATCAGCAATGGAAGTACCCCCAGAGGCCTTCCAGCTGTCCTTGAGCACTCGGGGACTAAGCAGCCCCTACAAACAGAGGCTGCTCTTTCTTCAAGTGTGCAGTGGCAACTGGACCATGTCTGGGCACACCCCTGCAGCCAATTATTGGCCAAGGAGTTAAAGTTGCACTGTGGAGGGAGTTCATCTGAGGAAAAAGCCTGAGGTGTCTCCTAGATAATGGCCACACCAACTATGCTGGTGGAGAACTATATTCTGCCATGTGGATCTTCGCTATGAAATACAGCTCACCTTTCCCCCACTGCTCTAATATTTAAGAAAGCTACCTGTGTATATGTGAATGGGAGCATGTACCTGTCCTCTTAGAAAAAACCAAGGCCTTTAAAATAGCAGAGGTATTTTTTTAAAAAAAATTCATTGTAAGAAAAGTATTTCAATTGCCTCTAGTACTTAAAATGAATCCAAGCCAGTAGATTTTCATGAATGCTAGATTTATTTACTACTAGAATTGCAATGGCTGTTGCAGCCATTTACATCTATACAGTGGCAGACATGACAGTCGTAGAGGTTGTGCTGTAGCTTCTTACTCTTCATGCTATAAATGGGGGGAAATCAAAATGGATTAGTAAATACACGGACTTCCTAAAATCCCATTTTCCCTGTGGAAATACTTGCACAATGTGTTGTCACAGATGCAGCCCCCCAAGAATTGCCCAAGGGGATGCAACCCTTAATGAAATTCTCCACCACTTAAAGAAGTACAGCCCTTACCTTCAGAGTCACAACATCTCTCGTGCGAACCCGTAGCTTGTTGACTTGTGTCTCTGCAATATCGGCTCTCTCTTCTGCATCATCCAGCTCATGTTGTACCTTACGGTATTTCACCAGGTTGGAGTTGGCTTGTTGCTCCTAAGTATAGAAAGATGGAATTTCATGTAGATGGAGAGAGAGTTCGTAGTACTCCCTGTTTAGTGTCATGGTTGGAGAAACCAATCGTAGCATGTGAAAAGAAGATGGTGAAAATGGTGATGCCCCAGACTAGAAATGGGTTGTAGAGCAACCAGGAAGGTTTACTTAACCAAATGAGTCTACTGAATACTGCAGAAGTAGCTCACTATTCTGTTTATATTGCCAAATAGTTATTTTGGGACTATAGATCCTGGTTGGAATAATTATGATAGCAGACATAAAGATTATTAATGGTTTCCCTAGGATCTGGGGGGGACAATGAATAAAGAAGGGCCGTTTCTGCGGCCCTTGCAGGAATGCCTTTACTTACAGCCTCCTCAAACTGGCGCTTGTAGCTCTTGACTTTGCTCTGCAATTTGTCAATCAGCTCCTGCATCCGTGCCAGGTTCTTCCTGTCCTCTTCAGTCTGGAAAAAATGGTTTCGATATGAGCTGGCTCAACAACTGCCAGTGTATACTTTCCATACTGTAGTTTAAACCTTTCTGATCTGACATATTTTCTTACATGTCAGCTTTCATATAGTATACTGGGAGGATATCTATTAGATAATGTTATAGGCTGTAAAATGCTAGTTCTGAATATAAATTTTTCATCAAAAACTGCTTTCAAAGTTTTCTTTTTTGCACAACACTCTCTCTTGGGACTCCTTTTTGGTAAAGTTGGCTTTTCATAGTTATGGGGATAAATAAATGGATTGAAGATCCTGAGGTTTGTACCTGGTAAGTCAGCTCTTTGATCCTGCGCTCATATTTCCGAATTCCCTTCTGAGTGTCCGCATTTTTCTTCTGTTCTACATCCAACTCACCTTCCAGTTCTCTCACCTAGAAAGAGTAAATTGTAATTAAGGTTTCAAGCCATCTGCCTGCTTGGCTCAGAACTGTGACACGGAACAGGATAGTGAGGACTTCAGGGCATGTTGGTGTACCCCACCACATCACACATTGTGTAATTGCCTTCTAGAGCCTTGCAGTAGATATTCCGTGTATCCTAAAACCTGGGTGACATAGTTCCCTTTCCCCCCAGAAAAGTGGCTTCCACATCTACTGCCCAGAGTCAGACTTATTTGTGCCATAACCTAAGCTGATCTTTAGTCAACTCCTGTTGAATAAGGCCAGGCTCTCAGGCAGTGAGATGGCTTAATTTAAAATTTTGTTAGTTTTTTACATCAATATGAGAGTCAGAACCCTCACATTCTAGGGGTGTTAAACTCAATGCCAGATAGTAGGCCTAGATGCAGAATCCACAAAAACCAAGCTGTGATGATACGTCCTTGGCAAACAAAATATCAAACATCAGAACTCAAGATTGGATGACTGCTAGAGATTTAAGAGAAGTCTGCTGAAGGTTTGGCTCAAAGGAACATTTGTGTAATGGTTAATACAGCTCCAAAGGCACCAGGAAGAGAATGCTATAAGGCAAATGACGTAGTCGGTAGTTTCAAGATCAGTTTTTCTATTGATCTCTCCTACATGTAGGCTTGATTACAGCACTTACCCTAGCCTCTAGCTTCTGGATCTGCTTCTTGCCTCCTTTGAGGGCAATCTGTTCAGCCTCATCCAGTCGCATCTGTAGATCCTTGATGGTTTGTTCCATATTCTTCTTCATCCGTTCCAGGTGAGCGCTCGTGTCCTGCTCCTTTTTCAGTTCCTCTGCCATCATGGCTGCCTGATGGGATAAAGGGAAATGGACTATGCATCATTGTTTAACCCTACAAAGAGTTGTGTGCCAGTGTGATTTACACTTACCTAACCACATGAGAAATGAGTCCACTCAATTTGCTGCAGAGCTGTGCTTTAGATTCAACTATGTATCTAACCAATTCAACTATCCATTTATCCAACAAAGCCTTGTCAACCACCACAATGATACTGAGCCCCTACTTTCCTATCTGTTTTGGTTCTGTGTCTCACTGGGTTCTTCACACACAAGGTAGTTTTAGCAATCATCTATTCCTATAGATATTAGTGCTTCATGAGCTATTATTGCAGATCTCTTGCCTGTCTTATCTTGCTGCCTCAGGGGTCTAGGAATAAATATTTTGGTAAGCCAAGAATTGGATCATGTCGCTCCAGATATTATTCATTTGCATTCCCCACCAACTCTAACCTGGATAACCAACGGTAGGGAACACTGAACAATATCTGGAAGGCCATGTAATTTCTCTCTTACCAATGCCTGTTTTTCTCCTTATGGTATTTACATGACTTGCTAATTGCTAAGCCTGAAATCTTTTCTATCCATTTGGGCAGCAAAATATGATGTCCTGGCAGCAAGAGTAACAGAGGAGCAGTGCCAACCCTGCCCAGTCATTACAAAAAGGGAAGTGGGGTAATCCAGTGAACATGTGAAAGTGAAACCTCATGCTCTCTCATAATAAAGCTGATCTGTTTCAAGAATTTCTCATTAATCCCCAGTTAGAACAGGAGCGCAGAACTTTTTAGTGCAGAGGAAACCGCCTCCCCGATCCCCATCTGGGAAATTGTGCTTGCAAAAGTTACTGGGGAGACCTAAAACTTCCAAAATTCCCCAGGCAGCATGGCTATTATCAGTGGTCATGTTGGCTTGAAGACTTTTCAGTCATTTCCCCTCCCTGCAGGAATGCCATTTTTAAGTTTTCCACACAAATACACTCCAGGCGCCTTACATCAGTAATGGCCTTCTTGGCTTTTTCTTCTGCATTCCGACACTCCTGAACCGCCTCCTCCACCTCCGTGCTCAGCTGAGAAATGTCTGCTTCCATCTTCTTCTTCTGGTTAATCAGGCCTGTGTTCTGGAAAAGAAAAGAAACCAGAGAGATATAACTCACAAGGGCACAGGAAGCCGATTTGACCATCTAACCAAGTATTTTCTTTGTATACGGATGGTAAAGAAGTCTTTTACTATCTCAGACAGAGATAGATGTTTTCCAACATTCTTAACCTGAGATATTCTATATACAGTGAAGTGCCTTATTATTGAGCTAGTGTTCAAAGACGTGCATTCATCTATTTTAGCACAAACAAAGAAACAAAGGAATCCAGCAGCACTTTGAGACTAACTGGAAATAATAAATTTCTAGCATAAGTTTTTCTGGATACAATCTACTTCAAAAGATGCATGGACTGTATTCATAAAACTATTTCTTCCCAGTAAATCTCAGAGATACTACTGGATTCTTTTATTTATGTGTTTTGATTGCTCAGCTGTTATCCTTCCAGAGTGATGGAACAGAGGTGGGAAGAGTCTAGGGGACGTGGTGCTGCAATCACAGAAAGCAAAAAAGAGATGCAAAAACGGTGTGCCCACACATACAAAAACCAATCACAAGTGCTCTTCTGTGCAATCTATAGAGTTGCTTACTGATTTCAGTGCAACAAAACACAACAGGCTACTCCATGTTGCCTGGTATTTACCATTCATCTCTGCTGGTTTATCCTCATTGAGATCCAGGATGGCTTTAGAAATAATACTGTGATTTGGAGAGACCAAATAATATTGATAATAGCAACATAACAAAATCATATGTTTTGATTCCAACTCAGTTATTCCAGAAATACTATTTCTTGAGGTTTTGCAGATACAACTACATTACAATATACAGAGGTGCACGCACATAAAAAGAGCCTTGAATGGCAGTGCCTAGAATCCCCAAGGTACAATGGTTATGGAGAGTTACAGTCCAAAAAGTAATTTTCAAAGCTTGATTTATGAAGTTTGAATTAAAAGGCCAGGACATGGTTTCTTTACATACTTGTGGATTGAAGTCCATTTGAAATGGCAATTGTACTAGTTTTGACGTAGCTGTTTGTCCTTACATAAAGGAGAGACAAATCAATACTGTACTTTCTGTGTTTATCAGGGATCAACGTAAACACTCCACTTCAGTGTATGATTCAATCTTCATCGGACTAATTTATTTATTTCTTTTATTTCTTTCATTTATTTATTTATTTATTTATTTAGAGTTTTTATACCACAGTCTTCTCACCTCCAAGGAGGGACTCAGGCCGGCTAACAACACAAGATACAATACAATAAGAAAAACATTATAGATCATCAATATAAAAATACATTAAAATACAATAAAAACAATTCATACAATTCATACAAATTACAGCAAAAATCAGTTCGTCCAAAAGAATCACAAATTCACAAATTCATCGTCATCCGCCAGAAAGGTCAGCAGTTATTGATTCAGTCATTATTCTGCAAATGCAGTATCCCAAAGCCATGTTTTTACCAGCTTTCTAAAGCTAAGATGCTATCCCTCATGTAAAATCACCATCTTCCCTCTCACCTGGGAGTGCAACAAATTGACTCTCTCCGTGGCCTCCAAGAGCTCCTGCTCAGCCAGCTTCCTTCCGCGCTCAGCCTGTTCCAGCGCTGCACGCAGTTCCTCCACCTCAGCCATCAACAAGTTGTTGCGCCTTTCCAGAGCAGCTGCCTGTTCCTTCAGGTCATCATTATAGCGCAAGGTGTCATCCAATTCTATCTGCAAGTCCTGTCACCCACAAGACAAGAAGAGCATGAAACAGAAGTAAGATGCCTACTGTCTTATGACAGGCCATCAAGAAATTTGGGCAAGATCTTGGGAAAGTCACTTCTTTGGAAAAATAGCTCCCAGCCCCCAAAGCAACTTTTTCAGTCTCTGCCTTCAAGGATCCTCAGACAACAGACTTAAGCAAGGGCAGTGCCCCATGTCCTTCACAGATGGTCAAGCGCAACCTTTTCTTAAAACCAAATACTGTACATTTGGCACTTTGTATTTGCAGATTTGCCTTGTGCAGCTCTGATTATTCTTGTATCTGACTAATGTGGTCCCTAGGTCCTACAGTGCGACTCCATGGTTAACCTCTGCCAGACATTGAACAGACAGTTGTGCTTGAAGACCTAGAGGTTCCTAGAGAAAACATCTCTAGGAATTACTAGATGCTCCAGCATAACTATTACGGTCTATTATTATTATTATTATTATTATTATTATTATTATTATTACCCCGCTTTATCTCCCCTGAAGGGGACTCAAACTACCAGCTATAGAATTGCACTGAAGAACCTATTATTATTATTATTATTATTATTATTATTATTATTATTACCTCACTTTTTCTCTCCACAAGGAGACTTAAAGCAACCTAGAGATGCCTAGAGAAATGTTCTTACAATATGTTTTTTAAACTGGCTGTTTTTCCACTTTTGCTGAGGTCCTGTTCCCCTAATCCCAGTGAATACGGAAGTCTGACTGTAGTAAAGGAGGTAGTCTCCATGAAGAATGTCAGTAAGACAATAGAGCACCATCAGATCCAGCAAGAGCATTTGCCCATCTCAATAGAAGGCTAAACTGACCTTCATTTGGGCCTGGAGCTGCCGCACCAGTTTCTGAGACTCCGCAGCCTGGCGATTTGCATGGCTCAACTGGATCTCCATCTCATTCAGGTCTCCCTCCATCTTCTTCCGCAACCTAATGGCCTCGTTTCTGGCCTTGGCTTCTGCATCCAAAGAGGCCTGCATGGAGTCCATGGCTCTCTGATGGTTACGCCTGTAAACATAAAAGAGGCAATTTACTCAAAAATGTGGCAATGGCAGGCAATAATCTTGATACTATATTTTCAATCGTGTTTCCAAAGGGGAGAATTCACTCTATGTCTGATACAAAAGCCTCAGAAGACCCAACACATTTAATATGGCTGGCTTTGTATAGTAACCTGACCATATTCCTACCTCAAATTCTCAAACTCTTCATCTTTTTCAGCCAGTTTCCTATCAACGTCTGCTTTAATTTGGGACAATTCCAACTGGATGCGCAGAGTCTTGCTCTCCTCGTGCTCCAGGGCTCCCTAAAGGCAACAGACAGGTGATTGCTAGAAGCTTCATTTTTGTCAATTGGGTTTGTTTGGAACATGATTTGAAGGTTACTCTATGTGCCCTCAAGTTGCCTGGTGACCTACAGCAACCTCATGAATGTCTTAGGGTTTTCTTAGACAAAGAATACGTAGATATGGTTTTGCCAGTTTCTTCCTCTGAGATATAGCCTACAGCACCTGGCATTCCTTGGCAGTATCACATACAAGTACTAACCAGGACTGGCTTAACTTCCAAGATCATACAGGATCCGGGGCCTTTAATGCATTGACTAATCAAAAATGCATTTGTGATGTCTTGTGTTTAGGAGGTAGTGTTTCAAGCGCAGTCCTGAAATCCACTTTTCTGATCACTAGATGTCACCATAAGTCCAGTTAGATGATCTGCTTTCACTCTCATTGTTTTCATCTATTAGCTGACAATCAGAGGAATCAACAAAAATAAACTATGGATGTAGATTGGCAGATGTAAGGAAAAATAAAAAAAAGCATAACTGAAGATTCATGCTTACAAAAACGTTGATGCTGAACACTGTAGCTCTCCCATCCACTGCTCTTCACATCTTTCACATACATGGTGTCACACAATACATTTTCTCATGTATGTACACATATACATTAATCTCTCAACAGGACTGGCTCAACCATTAGGCAAGAATGAGACTGACCACTTCCAACCAATGATTTCATTGTATGATATTTCATCTCTTCTCTTGTAAGTGTAGCAAATAGCTGCCTAATTTGCTTTAACCACATTTTTACTGTGGGAAAAAGCTTCATATGGGACTTTTTATCTGTATGTCAAGATAACTTGCCCAACTCTAATTGAGCGCTAGAGTCATAAGCCACAATTCACTCTTATCCTTCAAATTTTGCTCCTGTTCACCCTCAGTGGCCTCCTCTTTGACTGGGATGCCATTTGGATCCCCTTTCACATTGTTCCCTGCCTACACCTTGGTGATCTCCTTCCTCTCCTCACCTCAGCCTCCTCCAGGGCAGCCTGGATGTCATTCTTCTCACTCTCCAGGCCTTTCTTCAGCTTCTCCAGCTCATGAATGGTTTTACCACTCATGCCAATCTGATCAGTCAGGTCAGTAATTTCCTCTAGTTAGGAAGAGACAAAGACAAAATGACAAACTTATTTTGAACGTGCATACACATTTTAGTTGTACTCTTTAACTGGTTCTGCTTTGTCTAGTGATGAGGAAGGCAAAAGGTGGAATCCAAAGTTATCCTCTCACCCTTGAATGCCATATTTTTATCAATGTATCTCTCCTCCATCTTGCACCCTTCAGTTCTAAAATCTTCCTAGTAGAAGGAATGTAGAAAGAAGGAAAAAGAGAAGGAGCACCTGTACCCTGTAACCCAATTCTCACATTTATATGATGCAGTCACAGGACACACAGAGCCTGGAAAAGGTACTTTGGGGACTAGAAATCCCAGAATCAAGTTGGCAGGTGTTTCTGGGAATTTATCTAGCTAGCTACTGATAGTTCTGATTATGTTACCTTGCAAGTTCTTGTTTTCCCGTTTGAGAGTCTCTAGATTCTCCAGTGACTCCTCATAGGCATTCTTGAGCTTGAATAGTTCTGTGCTTAGGCTTCGGGACTCCTTTTGAGAAGACTCCAGCTCTGACTGTGTCTCCTCATATTTCTGCTTCCACTCAGAAATGATCCTGTCAAAATTGCGCTGTTTTTTGTCCAAGGCAGCAGCGGCTGAATTAGCTCTCTCCAAGTCAATTGAGAGGTCCTCAATCTCCGTTTGCAAACGGTGCTTGGTCTTCTCCAAAGAGGAGCACTTGGCATGTGCTGATTCCACAGCTTCCTCTGCCTCTTGCAGACGGATGGCCAGCTTCTTCCTACAAATGATGTTAGTTAACAAGGGAAGTAGCAACATACATAACAAAAGACCCCAGAAACACAGCTAAGACTACACATCTCTTCAAATACTTCTCACTATTATGATGGAAGAGCAATTTTTTAAAAAACCAAAAGTGACCAAATGAAAGTGAAATTAGAGGAAACAACCACAAGATATGATATACTCCTCTTTTCCCACAATGCTTTTTTACAACATACCCTTTACACAACATTTCCCATTTTCTGTGATATTCCATTACCAAGAAGCCTTCAAATATCAGCATAAGAAAGGATTTCACATGGCTGTCCATTGCTTCAATGTAAGGGCTAAGATTGTCAGGGGAGGCCCTGCTCTTGGTCCCACACCCCTCGCAAGTGCGACTGGTGAGGGTGAGAGACAGGGCCTTCTCAGTGGTGGCCCCTTGTCTACAGAACCCCCTCCCCAGTGAAATTACATCATCCCCCTCCCTTCTGGCCTTCAAAACAAAAACTAAAACTTGACTTTGTGATCAGGCCTTTGGTCAGAAATGGGAGCAGTGCAATAAGGGATTATAAATTAACATTGATGACTCAGACTGGCCTTGAATTATGACCTAGATTATGTGATTTTAAATTGCTGTTTTAATATACTGTTTTTAACTAGTTGTTTTTAATGTTTTAATGTTTTGTTTATTTACCAATAATATGTGTATATTCAGCATCTAGTTGTTGGCTTTGTAAGGCCACCATGAATCCCCTTCGGGGTCAAGAAGGGTGGGATGTAAGTGCAATAAACAAACAAACAAACTTACTTGGCTTCCTCTAGCTCTTCTGTCCTCTGGATGGCATCTGTCTCATACTTGGTCCTCCACTGGGCCACTTCAGCATTGGCTTTGGATAAAGACCGCTGGAGTTCCCCTTTCGCTTCTACCTCTTCTTCGTACTGCTCCCGCAGAAGGTCACAGTCATGACGAGATGCTTGCAAAGCATGAGCCAATGCATTTTTGGACTGGAAGGTTGAAAAATATATGAATTAGAATGATAATAATCATTTACTTGTGTTCATTCATTAAGAATGAAAGCTTATTCCACCCACTGCCAAATAAGGCAGGTATCATCTACATCATCACAGATAGATTCTAAAAATGGTTTTCACAGGAACAGGGACAGTAATTTCTGCCAGTAAAAGTGTCTGTCCATCTTTGTGTGGAATATACAAAGGCTGCAGATCAAAGCCAAGGAAAAATAATTGAGAAACTTGTTACTAAAAGAACTTGTTGAAGCTCTAGTCTGCAAAGTAGACTATCCTTATGGACACTTGAAAAGAAATTTGGTTAGATGCATCTGTCCAAGAAGCATTCTGTGATTTCAAAACAGATTTGTCAATGACTGAAAGAGTTACTCATTTCTTAAAGTTTGGACAAGTTACCTTTCTGTAGTAGCAATCCTAGAATCCCTGCATCAGCAGATCCATGAAAAAGCTTCCCCCTAGCCATGATAGAGATTCTGGGAGTGGTAGTCCAGAATAGTAATTTGCCCGAGATCTCCAGTTTCCAGACATGGATCACCCAGTTTAAAACAACCATGTTGCTTTAAACTCTATTAGTTTACATTGTCGTATAAGTCATTCATGCAGTCATGTTGGCCACATGACCTTGGAGGTGGCTACAGACAATGGCAGCTCTTTGGTTTAGAAATGGAGATGAGCACCAGCCCCCAGAGTCGGACACAACTGGACAATGTCAGGAGAAAACCAATGTCATCCAGGCCTTTACCAAATACATTCAGCCCCTTCCTTGATCAACTCCTTTTAAATGTATTCTGAAGCTTGGCTTGGCCACTCAATCAATATGGAAACAATGTGTGGTTAAATATAATATGTAGTTTAGTCTATTAGTAAATTACAAACTACAACAACTGCAAGCCGTGTCATTTTCTCAGGAAGCCCTTCTAAAGGTGTATACAAAAAAATCTATCGTCATTTCACTGTTAGGGTGAAAGCGGTCTGAATATTCTTGGGACACCTCTCTATAGTATACTACATATATTACAGAATTTGGCTTGGTTACTAAACAATAGTATCAGGCTGAGCCCAAATGAGCCTTTGGAGAAAACAAACCCATCTACAAGCACTTTTTTTACCTAAGATTGTAACCCCAACCATATAAATACTCACTTTGGTCTCTTCTTCTAGCTGTCTCTTGAGTTCTTCAATTGTCTGTGTGAAGGAAGTCTTGCCTCGACTCAGCTGGTTTATAAGCGACTCCTTCTCTTCAAGCAGCCGGCTCAGCTCTCCTAATTTTGTTTAAACAAACCAAAGGTCTCAAAGAAATTGTTTACTGGGAAACTCGTGTTTTTATACTACTTTGGCATCCAAATAATCATATGCCAGCTTTCAGAATGTATCTCCATGACACTACAACTCCAGATCATTTCAGCACAGATAATCTGCTTTGAACTGGATTATATGGCAGTGTAGATACAACCTCTGGCACCTGCTGGTGATATATCCAGAGCTGAGGTTATTTGCAGTGTTGACCAACTTCATTGTACGGTACTTAAGAGCTATGAAGTACAGCCCAACACATATTACTTTTATTAATGCTTTGTCTTGCTTTTCATTTGTACTGTTGAAAATAAGTTGTTAGCTTCTTGGATCATATTTTTGGATCAAAGTCTGGATATAAATGAATTAAATAAAGAAATAAATGCAATTCCTAGTCTTAGTTTCCCCTTTTCCGTTACTTTAATTGGAATGGGTGGCTTATGTTTACTTTGCACTATGGAGGAGTAGAGGAGACAAAATAGTTCATTTTTTATTAATGCTGATTATTTATTCTTCTTTTATATAGAGGAGGCCGTCTCCTCTTCCTAAGTTGGCAAGTTACACTTTCACTATACTTCAGGACCTTCTAGCTCTGTTTGGAAAGAATAATGCATTTAAAAGTTTGTAATTTTGTTGTGATCAAACTGCGCCTTTTCAATGTCAAACATGATATGTCTAGGCTAAGCTGAGTACATAATAATGTAACTGTAAAGGGTGGGAATATTGTGCGGGGCTTTCTTAATTTTCTGAAAATGTCTCTTTTTTAATGAAAATAATGTAAAACACAGATTTTTAATCTATAAGCTTCACATTTTCACATCTCTGCACCTGCTCACTCCATCTAGACATTTTGCAGGCGTTAACCTGATATACTACAGTTAAAGCTTGCCACAAATAATTGGTTACTATTTGAACATAATATTGGCCTGATTATTCACAGGCAACTGTGGCCGTATTTCTGGACACAATAGCTTATCAAACATAAGATATATAATGCACAATCATTATGCCACAAACCTGTTTTACTGTACTAATCCCTCCTTGTAGAGTTCCAATGTGCAATCAATTAAAGCAAAGTGGATTGAGCTTAGTCTTCTATCAGCTACTTTTAGGCTCAGCAAAACAATTTGAGCAACGTACCACTTTCAGTCTGCAGCCTCCCACGCTGGGTGCTGACTTCAGCCAGCTGGCGTTGGAGCTCATCCACCTTTGATTTGGCTTCACTCAGCTGATCCTCATATGTTCGGCAGAGTTTTTCAGCATTTGCCTACAAGAGCAATGAAACTTTGTCAATGCAACAACCCATTTCATGACTAGGACTAAGTTAAGTCCTCCAACCATCTGCTGTGCTGCTTCATATTTAGATCTAAGAAATACATTCAGACTGTGGTGCACAACTAGGAATGTTTTAACTGCCTTCCTCACTCACCCAGTGAGAAAAATGATTCTACAACAAATGCACATCAGTGGTGGCCCTCGTCAAGGAAATTAGGCAACATCTAGCACAGTGGTTCTCAACCCGTGAGTTCCCAGATGTTTTGGCCTTCAACCCCCAGAAATCCTAACAGCTAGTAAACTGGCTGAGATTTTTAGAAGTTGTAGGCCAAAACACCTGGGGACCCACCAGTTAAGAACCACTGATCTAGAGAATTTGCACTGGAAATTATGAAACTGTTCTTTTGATCACCTATCTTAGAACCATGTGATGAAATTCCAAGTTATTATATTACTTTGTTTATGTAAAAGGTGTCAAATTACGCCAGACCTGGATCCTGCACATTGTGTAATGCATACCAGTGAAAAATAAAATAATAAAAAGTTGTGGATATTGATATAGCTTTACAGCACTGATTCTCATTGTACCAGTCAGGATAGGAGGGAAAAGTTAGGCAGATCTGAATCCTTATTAGAAATCCTATTATATTTTTCACAAATTATCTGTGCTTTTACCTTCTGCATATACTTGTAACCAATGAAGGCACAATTGTTGTTCTGTGCCTTCAAAGTAATTTCTGAACTATGCAGATCTGTCAGGGGGTTTCTTGTCATAGTGAGAGTGAAAAATTCACAAACTAGTCCAAGCAACAAATAAAAAAAATAGCTAGATTTGCTAAGTGAAACAACTGTGGCGCAAAAAATACTACATCAGCTGGTAACATCCATGAGGCACTTTGTCTTTCTCCATCATTCTGGTTTAGAGTGATAGCACTTTAACTGGATCCAGGAAAAAAACTAGATGTGTTTGTGCATGACGTATACCACTCTGCATATGTAAAGTTCCTAATTGTGTCTGGGGGCTCCCATATCAGTAGGGCCCCTTTCCACATAGTTGAATAAAATCTCACATTATCTGCTTGGAACTGGAATATTTGGCAGTGTGGACTCAAATAACCCAGTTCAAAGCAGATATTGTGGGATTTTCTGCCTTGAAATTCTGAGTTATATGACTGTGGAAGGAACCTGGGATAGTGAATCTTGTACAGATTGTGTTACAGGTATAAAAGGGATTATACCAGTTGCTGAGCTATATGCTCTCATAATTGGATCTGCATTTTAAATAGCTCCTTAAAGGCTATCTAAAGCCGGAAATGGAGTCACCACCATCTTCCTCTCCTTTCAACATCCTGGTACAAATTGCAAAACTCAACCATTCACCTTATTCTTGGTGAGGTAGTCAATGTTGGAAGACAGATCATCCACTTCCATCTTCAGCTCACTCTTCTCCTTCTCCAGTTTCTGTTTGACACGCTGCAGGTTGTCAATCTGTTCCCCCAGTTCAGCCACAGAGTCCGCATGCTTTTTGCGCAGGGCGGCAGCAGTTGATTCGTGCTGCAGCGTGGCCTCTTCCAGATCCCGCCGCAGCTTTAAGAACTCTGCTTCCCGCTTCTTGTTCAGTTCTATCTGACAAGCTGTGGCACCACCCGCCTCCTCCAGCCGTTCGCTTAGTTCCTCCAGCTCATGGGCCACCTCTGCCCGCTGCTTCTCCACCTTGGCTCTTGCAGCTCGTTCTGCTTCAAGCTCCTCTTCCAGTTCTTCAATACGGGCCTGCAAAGGATGACAGGAATTATTTGTTAACCCTGATCGGAATAAAGATGGGCAACCTCTTGATTCTGTCTGGGGTAGAGGAATAGAAACAGGACATCTACAGCTATTCCAATATGGGTCTCAGTCTTCCTCAAACTGTTTCTATCTGAACTTCCACTTAGTATGTGGACTGTCTCTATATCACATCACCAAAAAAATCTATATCACAGTTGCCCTGCACTTTGAACCATTCTGTTTCAAAATACAAAAGGTATACTTAGAGCAAGGCAAATGTTTCCTAGTTGAACTAGTTGAACATTGATTGCATAACTGGCCTCATTGTATTGCATTATTTGACCTTTCTTTAAGGCAGCTCCAGGGGGGAAAGCACTTTGCTTGACCCTTTAACAAACAAAGTGACTTTCAAACCTGCTGAAGATCTTTGCTAAGCATTTCCATTGTGTCTCAGCATGAAAAGGATGCAGACGATTGCAAAGATCACCAAAGTCATGTTCATACAATACACAGCTAGAGGCAGTGGTATAGGTATCAAAAATGAGAACATTGCCTCCCATAAGAATTCTGCTCTGTCAAATCACTTTTTCTTCAGTCCAAAAATTTCTGTTATTTCAGAGCATTTGAAACTGAAAATAGCTCCCACCTTGAAGTCATGTTTGATGTGTTTACCTTCCCTTGAGTACTCTTCTGCCCATTTTCTTTGGACAACTAAAAGCTATTTCTAAATACTCAGCTTGAAGTTTTAAGTTACTGCAATGATAGAAATTTGGGGATTGAAGGAAAATTTCATTCAGGGCTGCTCCCTAGCTAAACCTCTGGCCAGAAGTATAAGAGATCCTAAGACAATGCCATTCTCCAGAATGTACTTCCTTCTGAGAGTTTCCATGTACTGAAGGAATTCATCACTTTTGAGCCAGAATTCCAAACAATGGTTTCTCATGGAATAGTCCATAAAGCTTTACCTGCAGTTCTTTAATTTTCTTCTGCAGCTGAGTTGCAAGGATTTGCTCATCTTCAATCCTTGAATTTAACTGATTCATTTCAAAGTCTTTCCTATGAAAGAAAATACAAAGCACTTGTGTTCAGAATGATCAAGACTGAAATTCACAGGATTCTCTATATTTTTACACTGTGAGGAAATAAGGAATTCACCCTGGTACAGGTTATTTTCTTGGTGAACATATAGTATAGTCTTGTTGCTTAGTAAATTGAGTAACATAATAGTCACTGAATTGAAAGGTCTCATGAGAAGGCAAATTCACCTCTTACTATTATTTTCCTTTCTGGAGAACAAAGTTCTGACTGAGTCCCATGTTGCTTTCCTATGTAACTCCTTCTCTTACCCTTTTTTCATGTCTCCCATCTGCCTCTGTAACTGAAAGTTCCATTTGGACATGGGAAAAATCTTAAGGTAAGAGGGGTATATCCTAAGGCAGCCATTACCAACCCAAATAAATCTACTTCAAGCATGCAACTCCTTCTATCCCAAACCATTGATTCTACTGGCCGAGGTTGATGGAAGTTGTGAACTAAAAGAGAACTCCATCTTAGCCTTTCAAAAGCAGGGGAAGGAGAACCTTTGGTTTTCAGCAGGTCTTTGAGGGCTGCTGAACATTTCTATTTGTTTCTATCTTTCTATGGGGGGGGTGGCATTTCTGGCAAACCAAAGGCAGAAAATGCCCCCCCCCCCCCATGTCTCACCTTTGGTTTCAACAAACAATATCCAATTGTGCCTCCTATATGTCATCTCTGCTATTAGGATTTTATTAACTTGATTTGATGTTTATCACAAACTGCAATATTTACTTTTTGAGTTTCTCCTCTAGTTGTTGCTTGTCATTCTCCAGATCCATCACAGACTCTTGAGTCAGCTTCAAGTCACCTTCTAGCTTGCGCTTTGCCCTTTCCAAATCCATTCGTATCTTCTTCTCTTGCTCTAAGGCACTTTCAAGCTGAATAATGGACAGAGAAAGATTTTTTTAATCCACATGACATGTTTTGCTCATCCCATTCCACTTGCTTCTCCCTTCCATTCATATTGTATTCTGCTCCAGAAGTCAACCTTCTTAAATGGAGGCCCTCTTTTTTTATCCTCCACAAATGCACAAATGTTTTGTTTGTGCAGATATCAGCATTCATCACTATAGGTCCCGCTGGCTAAGATCTGCAGTTCAACTACACCTGCAAGTTGCATGTTTCCCATTCCTGGCTTACCAAAACACCTACCCCTGACATGTTTTTTAATGACAAAAACATTTATAAACAAAGCATTTCAAAGAATCCATCAAATAACTATTGTTTAAGCCACCAATGTTGATAATTGTATTAATACAGCATTGCTAATTCCACTCTTGCATCCACCTGCTCTCTAGCAAGGGTCTATCAAGAACTTTTTCACTGGTAGTCCTCCTACCAGATGTTTTGTACTTAATTTCCCATAATCCTAGACAATTTGACATTCTGACTACAGCAAGAGTATAGCAAAAAATGTCTAGGGTACATCTTTGCCTACTTTTAGTTGTAGATCAATATATACTGGTATAAAGTGTATTAAGCAAATTATTCTGTCAGCACAGGACTCTACACTGCCATTACAGAATTTTAAATACATCCACTCACATCATCCACTTGCTGCTCCAGCTTGACTTTAGCTTTGGTCAGAGTATTGACTTTGTCCTCTTCTGCCTGAAGGTCATCCAGAGCTTGCTGGTGGGCTTCCTGCAGTGCCTTCTTTTCCTTGGTCAGCTTAGCAATGACCTCATCCAAAGCAGCCATTTCTTCAATCAGGTTTTTAACCTAGGATAATATGACAAGCTTGTTTAAATTGTTATATAGATGATATGATGTAGTGAACACAAGTGAGCCTTTTGCATATCATAGTGATAATAATGCCAGTCACAAAAGATAGAAACATTCAATATTAAAATCTCAACAAATGAGAAAGGAAAAAGCAGAAAACAATACTGTCTTACTGATCCATATTTCCCAAATGTTCTATTCATGTTAAAGAGAACTGAAGATGCTGGTTTCTCTCTTTGTAATGGGATTTAATTCTTCTGGGTTTTTTTTTTAAAAAATGAAGTAGCCATTATTTCTTAGAAAACACTCTATTTGCTGCTGTTTCTTACAAGTGAATGTAACAAGCAACTTTAATTGGTGCAGACTGGTGGAAATGGGATGCATATACAGGGAGTGGAATTTATCTTTCCAATCAGCAGAATGATCTCACTAAAACAGCTTCTCCACTTGCAAGTGTAGTTTTACCTTGTTTTCTGTGGCATGCTTTTCCTTTTCCACCTTGGCCAAAGTGATTTCCAAGTCATCAATGTCCTTCTTTAGCTCAGCACATTCATCCTCCAGCTTTCGCTTCTTAGAGGTCAGGTCTGAGTTCATCTCTTCCTCGTCCTCGAGACGCTCCATTAGTTCTTTCACCTTAGCTTCCAGCTGGATCTTGGTTTTGATCAGGAGATCACAGCGCTCTTCAGCATCTGCTAAGTTGTCTTGTTCCTGCAAAGCATGTCCAACACCAGGATTTGACCATGAAATTCAATCATCTGATACATTTCTAAAATGTATACATATAATTAAGGTAAAGGTAGTCCCCTGACATTAAGTCGAGTCACGTCTGACTCTGGGGTGTGGTGCTCATCTCCATTTCTAAGCCGAAGAGCCAACGTTGTCCGTAGACACCTCCAAGGTCATATGGCCGGCATGACTGCATGGAGCGCCGTTACCTTCCCGCCGGAGTATTGATCTACTCACATTTGCTTGTTTTCGAACTGCTAGGTTGACAGAAGCTAGGGCTGACAGCGGAAGCTCACGCCGCTCCCCGGAATCAAACCTACGACCTTTCGATCAACAAGCTCAGCAGCTCAGCAGCTCAGTGCTTTAACCCACTGCGCCACCGGGGGCTCCCATAGATATAATTAGATATGTAAATAACAGATTTTGTTCTCACAAGCATTTTTTTCCTTGCTGTAAGAAAGCTATTAATAACCATGCAGTTCCCAAAGAGTAGCCATTGTTTGCAACTTGTACAAACAATGTATATGCTTCTCTGCACAGACAGTATTATCTGCACAGAAATAGAATTTACAGGATAGAAAATACTGTTTCCAGATAGGAAACTTGTTTTCTGTGCAGAAATGTTTTCTGTGCAGAAATATTGCTTTCTACTCAGAAGCCAACATTTTCCCTACAGGAAACTTGTTTTATGCAGATAAAGGTTCTTCTCTATACAGAAAATATTGCTTTCTACTCATAAAATGTCATTTTGAGTAAATAAACCCATGTGCATTTTTCACATAGTGCTAAAAGGTGAAGATTTTTGCTTCTCTAGTAGTCGTGTCATCACGTTTTATTGAATAACAGAAACTCATTTTTCAACAATTTCCCAATGTTTTTGTATATTTTTCCATCCCTAAATGTATATAGTGATTAAGGTAGTAAAATAACTCTTATTTATACCTTTGAAAATGAAAATGTTAAGTCTCACTGCACTTGACCACTTCCAACAGTGGTTTTGTGAATCCCATCATCTGAAATATAACCTGTAGCACCTTGCATTTGTTGGTGGTCTCCCCTACAATTCAAAGCAGTGGTTGGAAATATAAGACACTCCACAATCTGACTTCTCTTTGGATTGTATGTGGCTTTCAAGATGTTGTGCTACACATCCTAGTATGCTTCACCACTTGCTAAGGCTGATAGGTATTACAACCAACAACATATGGAAGACCAATTATTCCTATCTCTAATTTAATGGATTTCAGTGGAAAATATCAAGGGCAGATATATATCCAACCTTCTCATGCAGCCCCTCATGCCCATACCATATCTGGAGGGATAATTATGAAGATTACTCACTGCTTGAAGTTGCAGTGATAGGTCATTCTTCTCCTGAATAATGCTGACTTGCTTCTCTTCCAGCTCTTTCCTTTTTGCTTCTGACTTCTCCAGGGCCTCCTTTAGCTTCTGCATCTCCTCTTTGAGGATTGCCATTTCTTTTTCTGTCTGAGCTGACTTTAGGAGAGGTTTGATCTTGAAGAAAAGTTTCATCCAGGACCAGTTCTTCACAGCATTGAATGCACGAAGATTCCACTGGATGGTGTAAAGGGCATCCCTATGGGAAACAAATAAAGCACATTGCGAGTGATGTTCTGCTCTACCCTTACCAAGCCTCTTAGATTCATGCTCCAACTGAAACTGTGGCTAGTTAGCTGAAGACTTCCAAAAGAAGGGATAGACAGAACAGCTCAATATATTAGGCTGTAGCTTTTGTATAAATCATTTCTGAAAAAGTGATCTTTAATTCTGGATTTTTTTCCAACTTCAAATGTAAAATGCCAGACATTGTTTCTAAATCAGGGTGGGCAACACATTTCCCATTGGTAATTCACAGATCCCCCAAAGTTGTTTTAGTGGCACTTGAGCCCACCCAGAAAACTATGCAGCCTAAATGGCCAATTAGGCCTCTGAAATTTAGTAGCAAACTGGTAAAAGATATTTAAAACATGCAATCCATCAGCCGAAGGTTGCTTAAAGAGATTTGCTGTCTGTTGGCAAATTTTGATAGCCAAGTGTAAAACGTTGTGCTTATTGGTTTGCTTGTTCTGCTGGAACAATGTTGGCAATGTGACAGCAGCAAGAGTGTGACCCGCAGCTCGTTCCATGAAGGTAAAACTGCCTACCCCTCCCCCCAAAACCACTGCACTTGCATGCCTCTGCTGCAAATTAATGACAGAAATGGGACAACACCCAACAAGTGTGGCAAACCAATCAACGGGGGTAGTGCCTTTGTTCTAACTGGGTGAAAGAAAAGTGGAGACAGCCTATGGCAAAGTGTACATATTGCTATACCTTCTGCCAATAATCCAACCATACTCGATTCTCATAATGCGCCCTCGCATCCTAGCCTGCAGCAAGGTAATAATCTTGGCCAGACGTTCATCCCGCATCTCCTCCAAATTACCCAGTAAACCTGCTTTGAAAAACACCTGGAAAGGAGGAAATTTTGTGACAGCGAATAGAGATGGTATTAGGTATTACATTTTCTGTTTCAAACATTCTGAAGATTTTCCTCTTGATTCCATTTTTAACCTATTTTATGATACAGTACTCCAAAATTAAAGAGCGCGAGAAAAGCTATTTTATCCTTACAGGACTATCATATGCATGTCTACACAGAAGTATATCTCACTGTTTTCAACAGGGCTTATACCCAAGTAAGCATATATAAACTGTAGCCTTAATACAAGATATCAGTTATCTTTTTAATATAACTTTGTTGAAATGTCTAAAATGTGTTTGCACTCTATCAATATGTGTTTTTATTTTATATGAGCATTGGCTTGGACAGGGCTGTACTTAATAGTTGGGTTTAGAGGTGGGGGGGGAGAGAGAGAGAGAGAGAGCTGGAGAAGAACTGAAGTTGCCTGTTTCACTTTAAATATGATAATGGCATTTTCTCTTGTGCATTTCATACAATCACAGAGCTGGAAGACCATACAGTCCAATCCCCTCCTGACAGATGGACTATTCAGCCTCTAGTTTAAAACCTCCCAAGAAGGAGACTCACCACACTCGGAGGTAGTGTATTTCACTGTTGAATGGCTCTAACCATCAGGAAGTTCTTCCTAATGTACTCCTGGTCAGTCAGAAGGCAGACCAGGGAATAGGGATTCAGCCTGTGCTACATGAGGGTCACACACTCCCTGAAGACACAGGTTTGCAGTTTGGGGATCCTCCTGGACTTGGCATTGAACCTTGAGGCCCAGGTATTGCCAGTGGCCAGGAGGGCCTTTGCACAATTAAAACTTGTGCACCAACTGCGCACGTTCTTTTAGAAGCCAGATCTGGCCATGGTGATGTATGTCTTAGTTACATTCTGTCTGGATTACTGTAATGCGCACTATGTGGGGCTGCCTCTGAAGAGTACTCAGAAACTTCAGCTGGTCCAAAGAGCTACAGCCAGGTTGCTCACTGGGGCTGTCTACAGGGAGCATGCAACTCCCCTGTTGCAGCAGCTCCACTGGCTGCAAGTTTGTTTCCAGGCACAATTCAAAGTGCTGGCTATGACCTTTAAAGCCTAGAGGGTTCAGGTCTAGATTATTTGGCTGACTGCATATCCCTATACAAACTTTCCCAGGTTCTGAGGTCTTCAAGAGAGGCCTTTCTCTCAGTTCCACCTCCATCTCAAGCTTAGTTGGTGGGAATGAGACAGCAGGCTTCTCGATGGCTCTAGAACTCCCTGCCCAGGGAAGCCAGAATGGCCTCCTCCCTGCTGTCCTTCCGGCGGCAGGCTAAAACCTTTCTATTCAAACATGGCTTTAAAGATGAAGGTTTGAAAGATCAATTAAAATAAGTAGAATCTCTTGATTCCATGAAAGAGGAAAGCAGATAAATGACCATTTTGTAGATATTTAATAAGAAATGTGAAACAAGATAACACTTGAGAGTAAAGACAAAGGGGAGAATTTGTATTCTTCCCAGTCACAGCCCCCATTTCACATCCCATCAAGATAAGTCAACTCACAAAATTATATTTGCACACCACATACCTTAGTGTGTCCAAATTTATACTGAGAAGGGTCAAGGTCTAAGGAAGTCAGCAGTTTCTCTGCGGCCTTCCTGCTATCCATAAACTTGTCATCAGGAATGGCAGCAGGGTTCAAGATACGGTAGCTGCAAAAATACAGAACACGAATAGACCCAGGAATAGATAATGAGAATGAAAAATCCTTCCTTCTTTGAAACTTGTCTTCTGTGACCATTTTGGGAAAGTATATTCAGCACAGGCTTGATAAACAAAAACCTCAGGCAGCTGAGTGCCTTGGAAGAGTAATACACCGTTATGTAATTTCTTATGATTGTATCTTTAGTATCTGGTGGGAGGAAAGGTGCTTATGGTACCTTCAGCCCCAGGCCTCATCTACACTGCCATATAAAATCCAGATTATCTACTTTGAACTGGATGGATTATATAGCATCGTAGATTCATATAATCCAGTTCAAAGCAGATCATCTGGATCATTTTATTTAATAATCTGGATTATATGGCAGTTTTGATCCAGCCTCAGGTGCAAGAATAATATGGTTGGCTTTAGCCACTATACATCTTGACCTGGGGTATGGGCATTCACTGCTCTGTCTCTGGCACAAACTGTTTTAGCAAACCCTGCCTGCATGACTAACATGGCAATGGTACCAAACCAAGCTATGTTAGAAGATAAATGATATCTGACACCGGAAAGGATTGCTAAAACAAAATTCATAGCTTACTTCTAAATTAAAAATCCGTATAGAGTAAGGCTCATTTGTCATATTTTCCATCTATTTTGCATTCCATCAATACAACTAATCAATGTTATTCTGTATTCAATAAGTATATTATTTTCTCACTTAAAATGCTCCTGAAATTGTTATTACATTATAGTATTATTTTCAAAATACAAGCACTGAAAGTTGGTGAGAAGTATCAGGACATTTTACACTACACTTCTACACTACCATATAATCCAGATTATCAGATCAAATAATCCACATTATCTGCTTTTAACTGAATTATATGAATCTACGCTGCCATATAATCCAGCCCGAAAAAACCTACTACAACCCAGATATCTAAATTACTTTCCATCCTGAATATAAAAAATATTTTCAAAGACAAGTCAAAATCAAAAGGCAATTAAACTGGTTTGAAATAAGTGAACATTTGGAGTACAGATCTACCTTAGTGGAGTTATATTCTGTGGCAGAAATTAGGTTCCACAATAGGTTCCTTACCAATGCTCAATTCAAGCGAGAGGAAATATGACTTACCGTTGCCTGAAGTCAGCATAGAGAATCCTGTTTGGAAACCCTTTCCGACAGATTCGGATGCCTTCCAACACACCATTACATCGCAACTGATGAAGAACTAAAAAGGGGTCCATGGCACCTGCATAGGATAAAAAAAAATGTCCTGATACTTCTCACCAACTTTCAGTGCTTGTATTTTGAAAATAATACTATAATGTAATAACAATTTCAGGAGCATTTTAAGTGAGAAAATAATATACTTATTGAATACAGAATAACATTGATTAGTTGTATTGATGGAATGCAAAATAGATGGAAAATATGACAAATGAGCCTTACTCTATACGGATTTTTAATTTAGAAGTAAGCTATGAATTTTGTTGCTATTCCCAACTAGAATTGACCCTCATATCAATCACAGGTTTGTGAGCTGATTCAATGGATCTACTGAGGGTGGAACTACCAATAAGTTTCAAGCCTAAGTCTCACTGTACTTAGGTGTCCATTAAAGTTGCCAGTATTAATATTTAATGAGATTCCTGTAATATTAATCCTTAGCAGATCTCAGAGGGTTGAGGCATAGTAAAACTCCATCAAGCTATAGATGCCCCTCATTTTCAAACCCCAACTTCCAAAGACATTAATTCCCACTAAACAGCTGTGGCCTCAACTGGTGGAAGCAGGGAGATATAGAGGAGACCTCAGCTCTGCTCTTGTCACCAAAGGCTCTGCCAGCAAGGCAATAGTCATGTTGGGAGATGATATCTATAACTGAAACTAGATACTGTTAGGAGGGGATGCCTACAACTGAGATTTAGATGGTAGAAAGGACCATGCTGATCTTCATATTCTTCATAAAATTATACCTGGAGTCTTTGTTTCATTGGGGATGATACAGCGGACAAAATGGGGTTGGGTGGCACGTAAATTGGTCATCAGTTTGTTCAGGTTTTCCTGTAAGGCAGACATCAAGTGTTAAACAGCTCTCCCTGGCTATATTTTCGAACCTACATTGAATAATGATTTTATTTTTTTAAAACTCTATACAGCTTTGGTATCCAAACAACCTGCTTCTCTATCTTACAAACTTGCCTCGTGATAGCAATCTTCATCTATGGTCATCCTCAAGATATTACTGCAGTCAAAAATCAGGCTACTAGGTGACTAGAGGGAAAGCTTCCCCTTCCTTAGAAAATTCTCACTTGCACGGAAAGAGGGAAACTAAAGAAGAATAGAGCAAATTCAAGAGAACTAGAAGCTACTCAAGCTCCAAATAAAGCCAACCTTTTAAAAAAGCATGACTGGAAGCCTCCTTGAGATCTGGTTTTAATTGCTTTACTTAGTTTGGTGAGGCAGAGAAGCTAAAGACTTTTATGCCCCTTTCATGTAACTTGTTAGCTATAGGATCCATAAGTGTGTGTACCTTCAAATCCCTACCCTGGACAAAGGGGAAAAATAGAGGGCTATTTGAAGCTCCCATGCTCTGACCTAGGTCACTAGTTAGCTGACTCCTCCAGTCAATAATGGATGCTCAATCTGGAATATTTTACATGTATTGTTTGTGCCCTACAAGCAAAGGAAGCTCCCCATAGATTGATGGCTCCTTCCCCTTGTGGACATGGCTCTTTTGCTCTAAAATCTGGATCTTCCCCCCACCTGGTAGAGAAGCAGAGATTAAGAGGAAGAGAGAGAGAAAGTAATAGGGGTAGAAATATTTTGGGCTAACATATCACTGATTGTATGTACATTGGTCAATCAAATATACAAATCCCCACTTTCCCTTTAGTGCTTTTGGATAATATTATTTTATGCTCTCTGCATATCCCAAATGTACTTGTTTTTGCATAGCAGAATGTATGTGGCTCTACTGCTCATTGTTTTCTGATTGTGAAAACTTGGTTCTCTATCCAAGGAACATAAGAATGAGATGGGTTCTACTAACTGGAACAATATGTGACAAGTTATATCCAGCTAATTCTCTCCTAAGAACTGAAAGGCAGAGGCCCAGTTACATTCAGCCATATGAAATCCACATTTTTTGTCTTCTTACCAAGGGTTGTCCTTCCCGCAGTCAAGATAAGGAAAGAAGTAGCACAGACTTAAAGTGATGTTCATGTAATAAATTCTCTAAACATCACTGCAAGTCTTAACTGCCTCTCCCTCGGTAACAGAGAAGAAGCAGGAATCATGTAGCCCAGTCATCATCGGGGTTGTTATAACATTTCCATAGCACAGAGAGAACCAGATTCATTCCCATGTTGTTTTTCTTTCATATTCTTGAACATTAAGCATTAAGGCAAATCTGTCCATTTTGGAGTCTCCCATTTGTAAGTTTTGTAATCTTTGGTAAATTTTGATAGAAAATGAAACAAAACATTCACCCACATCTGGAGGATGAACAAATGTGTCAGATTGACTTTCTCCCTCATTTGATTGTTTCGGAGTTTGGTAAATTCTGAACAAAACAAATTAAAATGAAATCCTGCACAAAAGGGGCAATCACGGACATAAATTCTTGAATAATCCCTCACTTAATAAAGAAGAAGATTCTGGGTCAACTGAGGAGAAAAGCCAAGTCCTTGGTATCTGTCTGGAATTCAAAACTTTATAGCCAAATTAAGGTCATATTATTGTCATGTCTATACATAGAAATGGAATTCTATAGGAATTAGCTTGTGATTATGCTTAGAGGCGAACAAGACACTCACCTTATGCAGCTGGGACACTGTTTGGAATGAAGCTGCCTTCTTACGTTTCTCTTTCCCTGTCTTAACTCCTTCATCTGCCAAATTAAATGTCAGTTTATTACCATGATTGCATCCATTTATTTCAGGCACTCATGTTCAGAAAATAGGAGACCAACTCTATTGCTTGAATTATTAGGCAATTCATAGTTCAGTTCCCTCACAATACTCATATATCTGTTGAACCATCTCAACAAGACACTTAGAGTAGTTCTATCCATAGATAACAAGCATCTGACCATACTCTTTGTTGCCATTAATTGAAATGGTGGTGCTGTACTGCCTGCCTTGATTCTAGTTCCAATAATTATATTGGGAGTGGAATATGACAATGGAATATTCTGCCTTGAAGTGCAGTGGGATCTCCTTCTTTGAGTGGCCATCTGTTGGAAGGGCTATGATCGTGTATGATCTTTGTGGTCTCTTCCAACTCTAACATTCCTGTGTTTAATCTAAAGTAGTTTCCTACCTATTATGTACCCAATTGTCAGATACACACATTTAGTTTTCTTAATTATTTCAGTCACCAAAGTCCCACAGCACATAGGATCACAGAGTTGGAAGAGACCATATCCAAACCCCTGCCACCCAGTCCAAACCCCTGCCATGCAGGAAAAGCGCAGTCAAAGTACCCCCAACAGATGGCCAAACAACCTCCAGAAAAGGAGCCTCCATCACACTTTGAAGCAGTGAATTCCACTGTTGAACAGCTCTTACAGTCAGGAAGTTCTTCCTAATGTTCAAGTGGAATATCCTTCCTGTAATTTGAACCCATTGCTCTGAGTACTAGTGTCCAGGGCAACAGAAAACAAGCTTGCTCCCTCTTCCTTATGACATCCTTTCAGATATTTAAACATGCTGATCATTGCATGTTAATTTTACTATCTGGTCCATCACTTTTGCTATCTAAGGGAAAACAATCTACTCTAGAACGGATATGTTTGAAGTATACTGGAACTAGTGTTTTTAACTAACATACAAAGCTTTAATAGTACCATTGCATAATACCAAAGAACTGTGAAGGAGAGATAGGTTTTCCTGGATGGATCCAACCAGTCAGATTTAGAAACAAGATGGAATCTAAACCCTTGGTCTTATGCAGCATTTCTATTCTCATGTTCTAATAGAAAGGCTACGGCCACCCAGGTGTACTGAAAATAGAGATAACGCAACTTGCATGAACCATGTGGAATAATAGGAATCATATTCCAAAGCATCTGGAGAAGGCTATTCTTCTATATTCAACAACACACTGAATGTGTACAGCTGAGAATGTGCCTCACCTGATGAAGAGCTCACATAGTTTTCATATAAAGTAGCCAGTAGTTTGTTTTGTGATTTTTGGAAAATGGCTACCACAGTCTCATTCAAAGGGTCTTTATTCTTATCTAGCCAGCCAACAATGTTATAGGGAACCTGTTAGGGAGCAAAAAAAAAATTAGGTAACAGAGGCAAAGCACAGTAAAAATGATACTCGAAAAGAATATGGAAATCCGGGAACCAAGACATACCACTCCTGCATAGTGCACCAACTCAAAGTGGGCTTCATACTTGCGCTTCTTATCTGGTCGGGGCTTTTGGAAATTGGGTGATTTCCCAATGTGGTTATCATACAATTTGGCCTTGAATGATGTATCAGAGGCTTTGGGAAACATACACTCTTCCTCCAAAATTGAGAGGATTCCCATTGGCTGCAAAGAAAATATCAAAACACAAGAATCAATCTTAGTGCTACTTTTGTCTGATATAGCCATGACTAAATAATCTGGTTCAGCTCTTTTGGACAGCAGTTCCCACTGGGCCAAGGCCACATGACCAAAGATGTTTGGGAATCCAAACAGGCAGTGGGCAGCAGCTTGAAAGACTCATAACTTTAATTTGAGTTACCAGTCTTTGACTACTTCATACATATATAGAGTTCATATATGAGAACCCTGCAATGTGGAACTGCCCACACACTCCCTTGCAACATTTGGAGGACAAAAGAAAATTTAAAATACTTTTCAAGCAAGAGCCCCTAGAGAGCCAATATAGACCCCAAACCCTGAGAGCTCCCTAACCTATGTATGTATTGTCCCATTTTATCCCCAGTTGTTTACCTTTTCAATCAGATCAATACAAGCCTGCAGGTCCAACCCAAAATCAATGAAGACCCATTCAATCCCTTCTTTCTTATATTCTTCTTGTTCCAGAACAAACATGTGATGGTTGAAAAACTGTTGCAGCTTTTCATTTGTGAAGTTGATGCATAATTGCTCAAAACTGTTATACTGGAGACAAAAGATAAAATGAAAACTTAAGTGCTAATTCATTGTTTAATGCATCTATTTTTTAATGTACATCTATTTAAAAAAAAGATTGCCACTTTACTTTAAATAAGGGTATCTTGAAAAACTATTGAGACATCTCAGCAACTTCATCTATTAGGCATTGGCATAGACAGAATATTCAATAATATTTGAAAAATCACTGAAAAAAAGCTTCTTTTTTTTTCATAACAAGATGTTCTTATGGGCCTGGCTATAAACTCACCTCAAAGATCTCAAAGCCAGCAATATCTAGAACTCCAATGAAGAACTGCCTGGCTAGTTTAGTGTCCAGGGTTTTGTTGATACGAATTACTAACCACTTGAACATGCGATCGTAGGTGGCTTTGGCTAAGGCTCCCACTGCATAGACTACCTGCAAATGGCAATAAAGAAAACAATTTGTCAGAATAAATGCTTGTTCTTTTCTTGTTGGATTATGTATTAGTACGTCAGCTCCACTGGCTGCCGATCCAGTTCCGAGCACAATTCAAAGTGCTGGTTTTGACCTTTAAAACCCTATACAGCACCGGCCCAGTGTACCTGTCTGAATGTATCTCCTTCTATGTCCCACCACGGAGTTTAAGATCTTCTGGGGAGGCCCTGCTCTCGTCCCCACCTTTATCACAAGTGAGGCTGGTAGGAACGAGGGACAGGGCCTTCTCAGTAGTGGCCCCTCGCCTGTGGAATTCACTCCCCGGGGAAATCAGGTCATCAACATCCCTCCTCTCCTTCAGAAGAAAGCTGAAGACATGGATATGGGACCAGGCATTTGGGTAATCTGGCAGATTAACAAGGTAATGATGACTAGAGTTGGAAAGGACTATGGCAATGCTAAATGGATTGACGGATTTTAGAACTTGATGAACACGAGCTATAGAGTGGTTTTTAGTTGATTGTATTGTATTATATTGCACTGTATTAATTGTTTGTTTTAACTATTGTGTTATTGCTATTGCATTTTATTGRAACTGTTGGCATCAAATTGTGCCGAATTGTAAGCCGCCCTGAGTCCCCCCCTAGGGGGTGAGAAGAGCGGGGTAGAAATGACCAAAATAAATAAATAAGTATGGGAAGATAGGCAGTTACTTCTAAAATTGAATTATTATGGGTTTCAAAATTCCAATTGAAATTATATTTTTGGTTTACATCTGGAGTCGAGAGTTAAGGCAAAGGCCCAAATCAAGTTTCATCCTTGTAGAGAGCCAGGCTGAATAGAAAAAATGTCTCCCCAAATAGATGGAAACAGCAAACAGGTGTGATCTCTGTATCTTCCTGTTGTCATTTCCAAGTTCAATATAGGGATTTTTTTCTCTTTAGTATATGAAGAACACTTGGGGTGAGCATGGCAAACATCTTTCTTTTTCTTTTTTCTTTTTTTGCTGTATTTGAAGTGCAGTGCTAGAATCCAGAAGCAAAAAGTAGCTGAAATTTTTACAGGAGTGGATTTGGGGGCTCTGGGGTTGGAGAAAGTCTGGGGTTAAAAAAAACCAAACCACCGATTGAGGCTGTGTGGAGTTCATGGGCCACAGGAATCCCTCCCTTGGTTTACTTGATGTACTTGGGGCCAGAATACTGGGCACACCTATGTGATCACACGTAAGATCTGGGGAACTCAGTTGAGCTTTCATTTGAGCAACGTAAAGATTGGACTAGGAGTAGAGTGGCTATTGTAAGTCAAATCAGTGGAGCAGTAATGATGCACAATGTAAGGGAAAATAGACTGTGGTTTTCAGACCAAGCAGTAAACTACAATAGCTAGACTAAAACTTTCTTGTTGTGTTCAAGTCATTGCTGGCGTATTACGACACTAAGGTGAACCTACCATGGGGTTAGTAAGATGTCTTAGTAAGATGTGCAGCTTTCCATGGAGAAAAAAAATATTACATTGTTCTTCACTGTGGAATTACTGGAGGTCAATGACCAAGCCATAGAGCCTCAAATGCTCACCTGATCAACAGTCTGGTTTTTGGTCACATATTCATTTCCAACTTTCACCCTTGGATGGAGCAGCCCCTTGATTAGATCACCTGAGCTGATTCCCATAAGGTAAGAGGCTTTATCAGCACCTGCAATATAATAAAGAATAATAAATTTATTAGAATTATGTACTGATAATTTGCTTGATTTAAGTTTTCCCCTCATAATTGGGATTTCAGCCAAATTACAATTGAATAAAAACAATATGGATTAAAATAAACAAAATATTATATTTAAATTATCATTCTCATTGAAATGTAATTTAAATTATCAAATACATTAAATTAATCTAAAACATACGTGTCTAACTGGAAAACTCTGTAGGTGATTGACCAACAATGAGAAAGGGCAACCCTTGAAAGTCTCCTGAGGAAGTAATATGACCTTCTAATCTTCCACAGTTGTCCACCCTGATGTAGAATTCAAGTTGATTTGGCAAAGAACTTCCAATAATCACATTGTGCTGGCTGACCCACATTAAGTCCTTAAGGAGAAAGCCACATGAGAAACCCCAGTCCAATTGTACTTTGGATTGGTGAAATTAGTTCCTCTTGAACCGGGAATTTAAAGGTGGGCACATCTCAGAACATTAGCTCAGTTCAGGAGCATTGTTGGAAAAGTTGGGTGAGCATTTTAAAATGGGTGAAGGGGGAGAAGTGAGCATTAATAGTGGACTCTGAAACAGCCCTGGCTGCTTCCAATGATGTCTACTGGTTCTACTATGTCACAAGGTGCTGCAGTTTTTATTATACCAAATGAACATAAGTGTCTCATTTAAATCTGATCCAAGTAGATGCCACTGTTAACAGTTCCCTTACTTTCAGTGCCTTCAGTTTCTGCTTGTTCCTCACGCTGTTTCTGCTTGAACTTCATGTTGCCAAAGTGCATGATGGCGCCTACTATTTTATAGCAGCCATATTTCTCCTCGGGGCTGAAGCCTAGGATGTCCATGGCATGCTACAGTAGAAACCAAGCAGAACGAATATCATATGACATAACAATAGCATCACTTCACAAGCAAAAATGTAAGTAAGAACTCAGGATATGCTTGCTTAGATCTAGAAGGAATGTTGCACAATCCCAATGACAAATACACCAGGGTGAATGACAAACCAATACCATGGATTTTAAATGCATTAAATTTAGATTTAAATTTAAATTTAGATTTGTACTGATATATTTTGCCTTTTATCATCATAATGAATCCTCCTAAAGAAGTTTCTAATTTGCAGATAGTCTCCAAAAAGGGCAAATTCAGTGGCCCATAAGCTCTTAGCTTGTTAACCAAATTTTATGTTTTCAGTCCAATAAGTGAATCTAAGGTACCCTTAAAATCAATAATCAAGAAGCAGAAGACCTCTTAAAATGATGGGGATCTGAGATATATTGCTAAATAATAAATGAATAAAAATAACTGTGGTATGTCGCCCCCGGGCTGAGAATTGCGGTATATAAGCGTAGTAAATAAATAGTATGTAAGAATGCACATTTTCCAATGTAATATGTTGTTTTCCAGCCTTCTGTAAACAGGGTAGTATTCAATCAGTGGAACTGTTCAAGAGAGATATAACCCCTATCCCTACTGTAGTCCCAAAACCTGCTTTACAAGGCAGGGAAATCCACCCAAGTTCATTTGGGATGGTGTGGGGTATTCTAGAGCAGTGGTTCTTTATCTTTGGCCCTCCAGGTGTTTTGGACTTCAACTCCCAGAAATCCCAGCCAGTTTAATAACTGTTAGGAATTGTGGAAGCTGAAGTCCACTATTTTAGAGGTTAGAACCAATAATGCCCAGTCATTAATTTCAATGGGAAAACGCAAACAATTTTCTAATTTAAATGAAAGGGAGTTAAAACTATTGATATGGCTAAATTGCGTCTTTTTGCCCTTGCTGGACTTCACAGTGCATAACTACATACATCTGTAGCTAAGAGTTCTTCTCCATCATCCAAGTTGTCCACAGTTGTTACTCCTTGTGAGCAGAAGTGATAGTCATATGGATTGGAAGAGAGCAGAAGCATATCTGAAAAAAATACAGATTGGAATTACAGATGTGTGTTTACATGTATATCCTGCACTTCCAATAAACTCGACCAAAGTACATGGCTCCTATGTTACCCACTTGATTCTAACAACACTGTAATATAGGTCAGGATGACAACTAGTGATTGCCACAAAGTTTCATGATCCACTGTGGACTAGAAAATGAATCTCCAAAGCCCCAGTACAATGTTATGCCTTTCTCACTCTATGTTTTGGCATATTGAAGGCATAAATCAGATTTAAACTATGAGAATGAAGGAAAAGGAGGTGAAGTGTGCAATGTGTTTAACTTTTGCAGAAAATTAACATTTTCTGTGAAGGTAAAATCTTCCAATTATCAAACAAAGGTCTAGTGAAACTAATTCTAGTTCACTAAAACTAATAAATTGGGTAGCCATTAAGATACTACTAGATAATTTATCTTGTTATTCTAGAGACTGCTCTAAAACTGTTAAGGAATTTTTAATCAAATTTCAAATATTGTCACTTTACTGGGCTTTTTAAAAAAAAAACAGAGCTTCTGATAAGAAGTGTAAAGTTTCACATTTCCATAGAGAGAGATAAGGAAATAACGGGATGCTGCCAAGAACAAGAATAAACAATATCTATCACACTTTACATGTCTCAACATACAATACTGTCTGCAAAATACAGAGGAATCACAATTAGTTTCAGACTGATTCGTGTGTATGATATATACATAAATTATATCATTTGTATGCCACACATTTGTTTTTGAGCAAAACTATAATTATACAAATAATGTCAAATTTCCCCATGTATCTCCTTGGATATGCTTTGTGAACAAAACTTTTGGGGTGTATAAAAATATATTTTTATCCCAGTTGGGGCAGGGGGGGTTGTGTTGACCTCTTTTTTCAGGTATTGGACTTTTAAAACATCCCAGTTTCTCTCTCCTCCAATCACTTTCTCCCTTTGTTCTTGGCTTACTTCAGTTGCTGCAAAATGAGTTCACAATCTGATGAAATTAACCTGCAATTAACTAAGCTGAAGGGAGAAAAGAGAGTAGGGGGCAGAATCTTGTGCTTCTCAGTAGACTCCGGAAAAAGCAACTTGGTTCAGCTTCTCCTAGCTGGTGTGTTCATCCTCATTAGTAACTTACACCATCTTAAATTACACTCCGATGTTGCTTGGGCATACAAATGTTGGAGGCTTTATGCTATTTTGATTTTCATGTCCTAACAGAAATCGTCATATACATCGCCACTCTTCACATTTGCACATTGAAAATGGATAGACTCAATCAAGGAAGCCACAGCCCTGAGTCTGCAAGACTCAAGCAGGGCTGTTGATGACAGGAGACTTAGAGGTTTGCCATTCATAGGGGTGACCATAACTTAAAGTCAACTTGAAAACACTTAACAACAACAACAATATTAGGCAACAGGTAGTTTTAGTTTGTGTGCATATGACCTTCAAATCACTTGTCAACTTATGAAATGCAAACAACATTGTGAGGAAATGAAAAGTGTTTTCATCCTTTGTGGCAGATTTTCTGCCCAAGAAATTAGACAGAAACAGACCAAAGCACACCTCCCAAAAAAACTCCCAACTGTTTGCCTTGAAAGCAGGATTATTGCTTTGAGGCTACAGTCCAGAAGGCTATGGAGTCTGGATTGTGTGGCTACTGGAAAGGCATGTACAATACATTGTATAGTTCCATCTCCTGTTAGCTATCTTAGGAACACCCTAGGGCTGTTGACCGATTTAGAAGTGGTCAGCCTTGGCCTTGTGACCACCAGATAAGATTACTATTCTCCCCGCAAACCTCTCCAGACCTACCTAATAAGGCATTGTTTGTTACTCAAGTAAAGCAATAGCAGCATGGAATAGCCAAGATTCTTTCCTGCCACAAGACATTATGCTAAACAACATATCTCTCTCTGTGGTCAGAAAAGAGTTTGCTTCCCTAGTATACTTCCTGTTGCATACCATGTGGTCCCATGCAACAAAGATCCTCGAGGGTATAACATTGCATGGATGGGTTGAATCATTCTTAGAGAAGTTAGCCTTCCTCTTTCTAAGAGGTCCTGTGGGTATAAGCTCATAAAGTACCTCTCTGGTCTCATGTGTTATATAATATTACTTTCATTGGTGTGAGGTTTGTAGAAGCATATAATAAGAAAAAGTGTGGAGGCAGAGACATGCACGCTGTGATCTGACCATAATCAAGCATAGTTCCACCAAACTGTGGATGGAACTTGGATGTCCATCTAGTCAAAAATAAAACAGTAATACTAAATGACATCTATCATCAGGTGCAAATGTGCACCAGAATGATCCCTTCTAGTGCCTGTGGGCACATATGAGGACAGAGCAGTTCTCCTATTCAACAGGTTCATTAACAAAAGCTTATCTACTGCATGCAGTCTTGACATTTAGATTGTGTTGAAAGTAATTTCTTTCATATAACAAAAGGTGAAAGACAATAAAAACTGCAATGTTCTAGAAATATTTACTATCATGGAATCAGAGTTAGAAGGCACCCTAAGGGCCATCAGGTCCAACTTATTGCTCAATGCAGATTCTCCAGTTTCAGTTTCTTACCTCTTCTAGAAAGTATCTACCCACTCTTATTTCAGAGCTGAGGTAATATGGATGGTGTCATGATCATTAAAAATCTACAATTTCTATGTACCAACAATTGATATTTGGAGCTACTGGTGCAAATTTTGCCCAAATGGAATAATTTTGCAGCCACCCTAAAAAATGCAGATGGTTGAGATGTGTTTGAGATCTTCCAAAGTGCTTTGCAAAAACATTTGTTCCTGTCCTGAGGATTAGAGCCACATCCTTTGCATATAGACAGCCATGTTTCCCCAACTCCCATATTAGATTACAGCAGTGTTCTCTATACTGAACGGCACTCAAAGATTGTGAGAGGCAAGGAGTGGCTGAAAGAAGAGTTTCACAACAGGAGAAATTTGCCCTGGGGCAGTGATGGTTCTAATGTCCCTCACTGACTTTAATGAACCGCAGTTTTAGATGGTTGTTATCATAATGTGCTACTGAAAATGGACTATGCATCTGTAGTCAATGTCAAGTGGAAGACATTGTGCATTATACGTTAAATTGCCATTTGTATAGTGACCCAAGAGAACGATATTTGAAACCTTTGCTGATAAATGAAAATTGGAACTCTCATATAGACATGGTTCAGTTTTTGCTGAGTGACTCAAATGAATATGTACCATATAAAGTTATCCTTTTTACTTTGGCTGCAAAAAAAGGTCAGAAAGAGAGAGCTAGATAAAATTGCCATCAACTGCCACGGAGACTCAGGGCCCTTCCACACAGTCATATAACCCAGAATATTGAGGCCGAAAATCCTACAATATCAACTTTGAACTGGGATATCTGAGTCCATGCTGCCATATATTCCAGTTCAAAGCAGAAAATGTGGGTTTATTGACCCTCCCCACAAAATGTATCTGTGATTATCAATAATTGACATGGTTTTTGCTCTTTGTGTGAGCATGATGATGGCCTTTGCTTGGTATCTTTTGTTTCCTCTGAGGATACTATTCTGTGCATTTTTGTTATGGCCTATGGCTTGTACCATAAAACTATTTGATGGTTCAGCAGTGGAACTCTCTGCTCCAGGGTGTGCTGGAGGCTCCTTCTTTGGAAGTTTTTAAACAGAGGCTGGATGGCCATCTGTCAGGAGTGATTTGAATGCAATATTCCTGCTTCTTGGCAGGGGGTTGGACTGGATGGCCCATGAGGTCTCTTCCAACTCTTTGATTCTATGATTATATGATTCTATGGTTCTGATGTTAGTGGGGCAGTGAATGTACTCCAGGTTCAACTTTTCACTGCCCTGTCGGAGATGTTCTTCTTCTAATATCTGCATGAACATTCACAGTCATCAATATCAGACTATGGATAAAACTAGATGCTACATTAAAGGCATAGTATCTGGGTGTCAAATCAATCTTTCTTTTGCATTAGTAAGCCTATAAGTAGTTTAGACTAGATGAGAGCCACTGTAGGTAGAGAATTTTTTTTAAAAAGAACAACGAATAGAAGATGTCTGGGTGTATGGAGCAAGGAATTCAGTGTTTAGCACTTGCTAGGGGATTTTTGACATAATCCCATCTCACATGGTGAACCAGTCCAGATGTATGTGCCTGCTTATGTATGAGTGAGAAATAGAGAAGCTTACAGATGTGTGCCATGCTTTTAACAAGGTGCCTAATTTGTTCCTGTGGTGCACGGCTCTTTTGTGATTTTGTGGATTTCATGTTGGCAACTACTATAATAACAATTATATTTATATCCAACTTTTAATTCTTAATTGAGATACAGAGCAACAAATTCCTCTGCAAATTTTATGATTGCATTTACCTTGGAGCTCTGGCTTCTTTCCAGAAAGGATTTGATAGTAGATGTGGTAGCTTCTCTCTCCTGGCTGCTGGAAAATCACTCTTGATTTTTCCAACAAGTCTGGAAACAAAAGACAAGTTACTGTGTCTCAAATGACAGGAAATCTGGGGTTTTACATGGTAACATCTGCCATTTAAGGACATAAGAAGAGCTGCACATGATCCGAACAAAGTCCTATCTTCTCCGACATCCTATTTACCACTGTGCGAACCAGATACCTATGGGAAGCCACAAGCAGCTGATGAATTCTCTAGCATGCCCCTGTTCCCATTTATGTTTCTCAACAACTAGTAACGAGATATTGAAGGTGATATCATGACTAAAAGTCACTAAGAGCCTTATCCTCCATTAATATAATCTACATGCTCATAGCCATTTTTTACTCACAGATGTCAATGTCCGCAGAAGCCAGCTTTCCTGATGGACCAAAATGAATGCGGATGAACTTGCCCTAAGTTAGGATAAAAAAGGAAAGTGGTTCATATGATGAACAAATGAATAAAGACACTTACTGTCTTCAATTGGCTCTTGCAAATAAATGGCTTATAATCCAAATTGGTGGAAAGGTAACTCACCTTGTAATTTATAGGCTTTCTGTGCCTCCCTTTCTTGGACCATAGATTGCCATGGTCTCATAGCAGAAAAGTTATTATAGTATTTATTTAATATTTATGTATTTCTTCCCATATAACCCAATACTTTTGCCTGTTCTCACTAGTAACAGCTCTCCACATTATCAGCTCAGAACTCTCATATCTTCTAGAGATCATACAGAGATTGATCCTGGAACCGTCAGGGTACAAAACAATGTGCTGCACCAATGAGCTATGACCAATCCCTTCAAACCTCTCAAGGATTTTTCTTTGCATTTTATTTTGTTCTTATATGGATATTAACTGTTAGGTTAGTAAAAAAAACATGGCTTTATGACATGTACATGATAGCACTACACTGAACATGGGTTAGAGAGCTGTAGCATGTATCCCTTTGCTGATCCATTCTCTCTAACCCACTTTAGAGCAGTGGGGACAGTAGGGGTTCCCCACATACCCCTGCCCTATACATGCTACCTCTTAAGCTTTTCTCAGTGTAGAGATGTATTTAAGCAACCACCCTATGTGACCAGAAAACTTGTTCTGTGTTCCAGAGACCACAATACCATTACAGTTTCTTGTTGCTATGTACTTTCATGTTGACTCCAACCTATGGCAAGTCTATTTTCATGGCAAAATTTATTCAGAGTAAGTTTGCCACTTCTTCTTAGGGGTCAGGGTACAGCACAGCTGGTAAATCACCAGCTGCAGCAATAAGATCTACCAACTGAAAGGTTGCCAGTTTGAAGCTTGGGTTGGAGTGAGCACCAAACTGTCAGTCCACCTCACTGTTTACCTAAGCAGTTTGAAAACAGCTAAAAAGCAGGGGAGATATTTTACAATAACAAAAGAAAAAGACCAGAAAATGAGGAGACCAAAAGGAAGGAGGAAGTCCTGATAGCTCTTTGTCATAGAGGATGGAGCGACAGCACCCCTTGTGGCTGGATTAAGCGCAACCTCCAAGGCTGGATGTTGACACAACATACCTTCTTTCTGTCTGTTCTGTCCTTGTCTGCCCTAACAGCATTGAATGTTTGCCGTACTGTGATCCGCCCTGAGTCCCCTTGGGGTGGACTCAGGGCGGAATATAAATAAGGTGAAATAAATAGGGTGGAATATAAATAAAGTGATGTTGTTGTTGAGAGAATGTGACTACTGCAAAATCATTCAGTGGTTTATGTGAATGATTGAGGATTTTAACTGTGCTCTTCTGGAGTCTTGGCCAATGCTCAACCCATTCCACTAATGTAGTCGATGTGGAAAAATAGTCAGCTCTCCACTTCCATCAAAGCATGGCCATAGAGTCACACTGGTGAACTTAGAGATTCCTAGACACTTTAATCAAATAAATAAATAATCAAACCCACAAATATAGAAAGCCAACTGTAGTTCCTGCATATGTAAATCATTTATAACATAAACATTCCTATATGCTTACCAATAGATGCATGTGTGTACTGTCTGCATAAATTCTACAGAATTTAAAATATACTTACAAACCGTGAGGAGTTGTCATTTCTCAGAGTTTTGGCATTCCCAAAAGCTTCCATAGCTGGGTTAGCCTCAATGATTTGATCTTCAAGGGTACCCTAAGAGACATGCAACCATAGAACAATTCAGATCTCATGCCTTACAGAAACACAGATTTACTCTAAAGTTTGCTATTTCAAAAAGAGGAACATAGTGCTGGGAATCCTGTATCAGCACACCCTTTCCCTGGGGTCAGTGTCAGCTACTGTCAAAACATAAAATTTCAACTTGACAAAGAGTCCAATACAGAACTTGGAAACATTACTTGGCCATGCTGGATGGAGTATTTTGTGATATATAGTGCCAAAAAAGTAATATTTCCAAGTTTTGTTTTAAAAACCGTCGATCTACATAAACAAGGAGTGCATCTACACTGTTGAATCAAAGCAGTTTGGCACCACTTTAAATGCCATGACCCAATGCTATGGAATCATGAGAGTTGCACTTTTACAAGATCTTTAACCTTCTCTGCTGGTGCGTCACCAAACGATAACTCCCAGGATTCCATAACAATGAGCCATGGCAGTTAAAGTGATATCAAACTGCATCAATCCTACAGTATAGAGAGGCTGAATGCAGAAAATTCTTGACTGCGCTACTTCCAGACTGCAAGAAAGGGAGGCTAACAGTTTTGAATGCTCACTTACATAGTAAATGTAATGTTGTCTTCCAATTTCCTTATGATGAGCATAATGTCCCTGCTAAGCATCTCATATACTTATACTAAGTCTAAACTCTGTATAAAGGTGTGTGCAGGCAGAATGAAGCAACCAAGAGCCAAAGAAGACATGGGGTTTGTTGCATAGCTTGAAGTATCACCATATTTAAGCAGCAAGTGCCAGGTTAGGATTGTGGCATGACGCAAATGTGTGCGTCTTAACCTTTCGGTCCCTATAAAAGTCTCAATCAGAATCCATGACCAATACCCTAGTATGCCTTATGTATGAAAAACCCATATTTGTAGCTTGAAGTCTCTGTAGAGTATGTGATTTACTTGCCCATGTCTACCCACATAATTAAGGTACAATTTGAGTCAGATAGATTTTGGATCTCACAGCACTGTTGCAGCACAAGGCTCCATCTCAGTCCCCATCTACACTAACCATTTAATGCAGTTCAAAGTTAGCTTCTAACTGAGATGGCTAGAAAACAAACTCCCCCCAAAAGCATGTGAAAGAAAGCTCTTAACGCTCGTTTGTGCCCTGTGGTTTCTGGGATCACCACCTGGGCCTCAAGCCAGTTCCAGGATTTCCTATGTAATCATCAGCACAGTGAAATCACTTTCTTCAATACCAGATTGAAACTGCATTAAACAGTCACTGTGGATGGGACGTAAATTATGATCGGGCCACACAAAACAGTTGGATAGGTGTTGTTTCTGGCTAAAGAAAGGAGAGAGAGCATGCTGAAAGCTATGTTGGCAGATGACAGAATGTCAGAAAAGAAACATTGGATAGTTCTGGATAGTAATTCACATTGTTAACACAACAACAGCAACAGAAGATTTCTATGGCCCCATCTACACTACTATATAAAATCCAGATTATCTGCTTTGAACTGGATTATATGGCAGTGTAGACTCATATAATCCAGTTCAAAGCAGATAATGTGGATTATCTGATTTGATAATCTGGATTATATGAAGTTGAAGAAGCCTTAGTTTTCTAATTGTCTCTGCTATATCATGTTTTCATCTTTATAAGAAAAAAATCTTCTCTGTTCTACATTTCATATTTTCACAGTTAAGAAAGCATTCGCCTGCTTTCCAGATGTTGTTGGACTACAATGGCCCATAGTCTCTGGCCACTGGACATGGATGATAGAATCATAGAATCAAAGAGTTGATCTCATGGGCCATCCAGTCCAACCCCCTTCCAAGAAGCAGGAATATTGCATTCAAATCACCCCTGACAGATGGCCATCCAGCCTCTGTTTAAAAGCTTCCAAAGAAGGAGCCTCCACCACACTCGGGGGCAGAGAGTTCCACTGCTGAACGGCTCTCACAGTCAGGAAGTTCTTCCTCATGTTCAGATGGAATCTCCTCTCTTGTAGTTTGAAGCCATTGTTCCGCATCCTAGTCTCCAGGGAAGCAGAAAACAAGCTTGCTCCCTCCTCCCTGTGGCTTCCTCTCACATATTTATACATGGCTATCATGTCTCCTCTCAGCCTTCTCTTCTTCAGGCTAAACATGCCTCAGCTCCTTAAGCCGCTCCTCATAGGGCTTGTTCTCCAGACCCTTGATCATTTTAGCCGCCCTCCTCTGGACACATTCCAGTTTGTCAATATGATGAGAGATGTTGCCCAGCAATATCTGGAAGGGTGGCTCCAACACCACCTCAACAGAAAAAAAAACAACACTTCTTTTTGATACTTTTAAAATTGAAAAACATGGGGGATTTTAAAAGCATTAAAAGAAGGTTATGGGCACAAGAATAGAATTAGAACCATCTAAATATCTAAACATTGCATAAAATTCACCAGAGCTTGGAAAGTTACTTTTCAAATGCAATTTATTTCTGATACCTGCTATAGGGGATGACTGCCAATTTGTGCCTACTGATAGTTATACTCTTCAGAAAGAAACATTGTATAGCTTATTATTTTTGTATTATCTTTTTGGGGGAGAAAAGACCCAAGGAACTGAAATAAAATTGGAAATGAAATAAAATTGGAACAATCTTACAAAATATCTCTAATGATGGTTTAAACCAGCGATTCCCAACCTGTGGTCTGTGGACAACCAGTGGTCCGAAAGAACTAAAATATCGTCCGCAGCCTCACCATTACTACACCATTGCAACGAGAGTGACTGGTCTTGCGAAACCCTCTTGCAGTGCCAAGGCTTACTAAATATGGTTTTCTGTGGATGAGCAGATAGCAACTACTGGATGACATATGTTCTGTATCAGAAGCTAGAGCTGATGTGGTCTATCCAATGCAGTTTTCTGAATCAGCACCCTAAATAAATAAACCAAATCTAAAGTTGACCAAAAACTGATTTGTAACCCTTTTGGTGCTAATGTTGGAGAGTGGTCCCTGGCAGGCATGTAGCTGGGGGGGGGGGCTTGAGGGGCTTCAGCCCCCCCACCCGAAATCCTCATGGTGGTTCGCGAAAAGGCCTTACTGGTGCATTATTTAAACTGTTATGTTTATTCATATCATGATCTGATCACCATACTCAATATATCCCATATGCATGGGGGTATTGGGGTAATGATACAAAAGGTTTGCTAGGCTAGACCCTCTTTAACTCAGACTCAGCCCCCCCCCGAAACTCAGCCCCCCCCCAAAAAAAAACCCTGAAAAAATCTCAGCCCCCCTCCCCCCCCGAATCAAAATCCTGGCTACGGGCCTGGTCCCTGGTCAAAGTGGTCCCTAGTCAAAACCAGGTTGGGAACCACTGGTTTAAACATAACTTTTGAATATAATGAGCAGTCCCTTTTTCAAAAAAAAAAAAAAAGCAAGAAAAGGTTTCTCTTTGCAGAAACAAATTAACATTGTTCCCACTCATTGCATTACTTTGGAACAGTAACTTTATTAAACCTTTGTTACTGAAAGCAGATAACTTGTTACAGGAAACTTATGTTACTTGTAACTTGTTATTTCCAGGCTCCAAAGTATATGAACACTTCAAGATTTAACAAATTAAGAGAAAACAAAAATCTGTATGTTAATAGTGTTTTTGAGCAGATTTTTGTAAACGTTCTACGATTTTCCGATATTTGGACATTTTACGTTATATATTAATTAATATATACGTTTATATTTCTGGATACGTCAATGAAATTACAAAGGCTGATCCATCCAACCCTTTTGCTTGTGGAAGCTGGGTGAAATTCCTGTGTGTATCAGCAACCCAACTTTTGCCAACTGATTCTATGTAACTAAATTTCTGCTTGCTGCTCAGGACTCTTCTACACAGCCCTATATCCCAGAATATCAAGGCAGAAAATCCCACAATATCTGCTTTGAACTGGGTTTTCTGAGTCCATACTGCCATATATTCCAGTTCAAAGCAGAAAATGTGTGATTTTATTCAGCTGTGTGGAAGGGGCCTCACTGGTCCATAAGGGAAGTCTGTTTTTGGCTTGGAAAACACTGAATCAGTCGCTGTAAATATATGGTCAGCTGCCCAAAGGTAGGATGTTGACAAACACTGTTTGAGTATCTAACCACATTACCTGTTCATTTAGCAAAATGTTCTTGGACCAACAACTATGTCTTTAAAATTGAAATTCCCTCTTTCTTTCTAAATACTTACCCCAGTTTTAGTGGCAGGAGCTTGCTAGAAAAGGGTGAGAAAATAGATTTATAATTCCAGAAATATAAAATCAGACTGAAAGAAAGTGCCAAGCTGAGGACATTCCAGTTGTGTCCATAAATATATTCAAAATCATCAACAACTTCAATTTAAAAAAAACATTTAAAAATACAACAAAAATAGGTTAAATAGATTAGATCAAGAAAATGAGCAGCACCAAGAAGCAAGAATGTTAAAATCCAAAACCAGGAAGGAAACTAAATGCTGGGTAAATTTCTTTTTTGGTAACTAAAGTTCAAAAATTACCCACAAGAAATTGAGCATCTGCAAGGATATGTCAAAAAAGGAAAAGGAAAGAAAAAGGAAAAAAGGAATGCAAGATGAAGAAGAAAGAGAGTAAGAAAAGGCACAAGACCAAAAAGAATCAAAAGGGACAATAAAGATAATGGGGATGGGGAGACCACAAAAAGCAAGGCTTAAAAGAAAGAGTTACAAGATTGGAGAACTTCCCCCCTTTTTGGAAAAGAAAATGTATGGAGGTGAAGAAAATAAGCCAATGTCTTAAAAAATTAAAAGCAGTCACCACTTGGGTTTCAGCACCCATTTTATGAAACTCTTTTCCCAAAAGCAATTTTGTCAAGCCTTGCTTGTGTCAAAGAAAAGCCCATATCCAAGCACTCTGCCAAACACAAAAAGAGTCCAAAATAAAACAAAACAAAACAAAAATGAACAAAAGAAAACAGCAAAAAATGTTCAAACAAGGGCCTTACTCCTTTCTTCCCTGGAGAGTCACCCAGGGCTGCGACAATGGCAAAGTACTGAATGACCCGCTTGGTGTTTACAGTCTTACCAGCACCAGATTCTCCGCTTAGAGTAATAAAAATACATAGGTCAAGAACATGAAGCAGCTCCTATCAAAAATTATACAGGCACAAAGAGTCAGCCAGCCACTCAGAAATACATAATAGAGTTGGGAGCAGGGGGGGGGGGGGGGGGGGGGGGGGGGGTGATGAAACAATGTTCTTGTCTACACTCTACATAGCCCTTGGCTCTGTGTTTATTTGGGTTTGATAAGTTGTAGCGGCTTACCGTTTTCATGCAGAAAGAACCCAAATTCATTACCAGGCAGTTCCAAACTGAGCAAGGAAAACATCCTGCCCTTTAACCTGGAGAATTGTTAGCCATTACTGTAGTGTCAGCCACAACAGTGTGCTAAATGTACCACAGGGAGTTCCCTGTGATCCCATCAAATAACCCAGGAAATATGTCCCTTACAAGATAAAAAAAAGGTGTGGGGAATTATGCCCATGCTGGTTCAGTTGCCAAGAATTATTCAGGGCGAAAGCTGTGGACCAGATGAGTACAGTGAAAACAGTTTTGCTAAAAGATGGAATTTGACCTCTGGGGTGGGGAACCATTTAGAAGCAGCCAAATTGGACAGCTAAAGTTTCTGGAAAGGCTGCAATATTGGGGCTCTTATCAGGTGAGCTTTGCATTAGAGATCGAAGTGGGAACAAGGCTGATGTCCCTGTTCACCTTTTTCCAATGCCTCTGTTTGCCATGGATAAGACTGAATAGCCTCACAGGTGATTAACCATCTTCTAGGAAGGAAGAGAAGCCTTCCAGAAAGATCAAGGATATGCAAAGAACTTCATCATCACCTTCTATTCATATCCCCACTATCTTGAAGACTATTCCACCATCTTGAAGAGTAATGCCATTACATTATTCAGTTTGTCTAAAGTGAGCCTTTAGAGAAGTCATGTTAATTGGGAAGGGGCAGAATCTGAGAGTTGTAGTCCAAAAAGGTAACTTTTCCAATCTCTGGTAAAGAAGTTTTAGGATTCCCCATCCTACCCTGGCATATGCTAACACAAATAGATACATATTTTAAAAAAAGCATTTGTTTAAATCAAACAGAATCAACTACACTTCAAATTATTGCAGAAGCAACTGGAAGGGGGTAGGTCTTCATCTCTTTATAACAGAAGTTCCCCTCCACCCAAAAAATAGTTGAAGTGCATTCCTTCAACAGAAGCAGATCCTCAAAAGAGAGAAATTCTGGCTGAGGTCCAGCAGGATAGCTCCAGGGTCTAGACTTCTTTATCACTCAAGCTAGTATCACTCTACCATCCTTCCTTGTTTCCACAAAGCCCTCTGGCACTGGCTTGGCATTGATTTCATGCCTATAGTTAGCTGTTCTTCCATTGTAATCCCATCACACAAAGAGCCATGTTCATGGGGGGAGAGGGGGGAGAGGCTTCCGCAGGACAAGAGCCAAGCATCTCATGCCCTCGGCCTCCGCTTTACCTAATTAGGCCATGGCCAAGGCCAGAAACGTCAGGAGTTTCTGGCATCAGATTAGGCTTTATATAGCCTCCTCATTATGGCTGTTCCAGTTAACATGTCTTCATGCTCATTCCCCACAGTTGGGCTTCAGCTGACTCCATCCCAGAGACCCTTTGTTTGCCCATCTCTGTCCATTTCTCTTGTCCTGCCAGACTCACACTCTTTCTGCATCCATATTCCGCTTTTGCCAGATCTTTATCTTCTTTCTTCAAGTTGTTATTACCCATCATTGGGGGAAGGTTTTGGATTTTTTGGGCTACAACTCCTAGGCTGGTCAATGGATATAATGGCCAAGGAATTTTCAAACACTTCTCATGCTATTTCTTAATAGCACATACTATTTCCATGATCTCCAACCACTACATAGACACTGCTGTCCTGTCTCCTTGGAAGTGACACATAGTTCCATGTGTCACTCTCACATTGTCATGTTTTCTCTTCAAGTTCTTGATCAGGTGACCTGCGTAATGTGCTACTAATGAAGCCAAATGCAGCCACCAACAATGTCTGCTAGCTTGCCTCTACTAGGGAACTGATAAAGTTTGGCTCTCTTGTGTGCTCATGACTGCTGAATGAGAGGAGCTGTTGTCAATGCATAGTATCTGACTGTTGGAACTAGGTTAACAATTCACAACGAAGATGTGTATGATTATTCTGATTCTCTTCCAACTCTATGATTCCATATCCTGGCAAATTCGTGGATACTTCAGGAACCCAACTTTGGAAATTTAATTGGGGGGAAGGGGGTTATAGATTTTTACCACAGCTGATACAGATAGGAAGTAGAAATATACAAAAGTATGAGCAATTTAACCACACACTGATTTTCTGTCCCACATTTTTGTTGGCAGTGGAATCCTGGGATGGCTTTAGCAGCTGTTAGTTGATATATAAGAGCCAGATAATCTGTCCTGTGTGTGTGTGTGTGTACATGCACACTTCAGGAATAAAATTGAAAAGTGGGAGAGGGCATAAACAGACACCACTGACCAATAAATATTCTGCAGTATGATCAAGTAATTTCTTTCCTTTCTCAAAAGAATGATATGATAAATTCTTTCTGCTTAATATTGTTGTTGCGTGTAATCAAGACTGCCTTGAGCACAAGAACTTAACTCAAATACAGAGGCAAAAGACATGAAATAATGGCATAAATTAAGTACTTACGTGATGAGCATAGACTGATTCTCCCGATCTGAAAAATAAGGAGCAACCATGAGCCTGAAATCCTTAGCATATACATTCAAATTATACTCAAACTAGCAACCTAGTTTTTGTCTCAGAGATTCCTACTGAGAAATGAAATTAACATTGCAATTTGCTCACTTAATTGACTGCAGTTCGTTTATTTTTGGCCACATTCTGGTAGCCTCATAAGCTAATGAAACTAACTGTAGAAAGCACACTTCCTGAAGCTAAGCAGGTCTAGCTGTGATGAGTGCCTAGATGAGAGACTTTGGAATAGTTTGTTATAATTACACCATAGAAGAAAGAAACAAAAAAGTAATCAAATCTCTGCTCCTGATTCTAATTCACTCATCCCAAGATCTTAGGCTATGTGTTACGTGAATGCTGGCCATGCTTAGCTGAGATTTACACACACACACACACACACACACAAACAGGGTCTCTGACTATGAAGGTCAGGATCCCAATTCACACAAACACAAGTTCACTGAACAAACACATACACACTCTAAAGAAATATAGGTCTATCAAATGTAGAGATCCGCCTTGAACCATTTGATATAATCATATTTTATGTATTTTTCATGGAGAAACCCATTAAAATATGCACAACACATCTATTTCTGCATTTTAGGGCGGGGTGCAATCCTGCTTCTTCTGAATATTTGGCTAGGGAGTTAGCAAACAATTGAACACATACATAGCCTGGTCTTTTGAGCAGTGTGACATTAGATGTAGCAATGACTGAAAATTGTAGCTAATTCTATGGCTAGCAGGGCACATTTTTCTCATCAGAAAATCACTGTTAAGACGTTTCTACATGTACATGCTTCATATCATTTAAACAAAGTGTGTGTGAGAGAAATTAATATGAATGCTATATCTGCTTTGCTTTTGGGCAGAGCTTGGATAACTAATTTGAATTAATATAATTTCATGCTGGAGCCAACCATAACCGAGCAGTGGCAGGATGAAAGTACGTGACTATGGTAATTCTTGTTTAAAGCCATTTTTCAAGTTGTACCTCTGGGAAGAACTCTTTTTTTCCATGAAGAAGGTTGGCAAGAGAAGATCTCATTTTGGTATAGATACAGAGCATCTGAATATGGAATTCATGTGTTGGTATGAGTTCAGAGTGAATAATTTTAGTAACATTTTTAGTTGTTTTGATTCCTGATTTAGTGTGTAAGGGAGATGTGAGCTTTCATTGCATCTTTATAATGATTTCATGAGTATAGATATGATACTTACTGCGCAACATGTCATTGTAGGCATTATCGGCAATGGAGTAGATGTGAGGTGGGACCTCAGATCTCCGCTTGCCCTTATAGGCAGCGACAACAGGAGGAGTATAAACTGGAAGCCATTTATATGGGTTTATGGTGACACAGAACAAGCCCGAATAGGTCTGAGGGGAAACAAAAGGCATAATTATAATGCTGGTAATCAGGGAAGGCACTGGAGGTAGGCATGTTTGGGTACCTGCTAAGGCCCCTACTCTGTTAGGAACCCACGGTCATTCCTTGGATCTCTGATCCAGCGTCTCATCCTTCCTTGCTTTCAAATCTTGCTTTCATCTGTGTCCTCTAAGAAAGGGAGCAGTGACAAAAGTGAAGAGATGCGACACATCCTCCACGTGACTTTCTGTCTCCCATTGCTTGGGTGGTGTCCAAAGATATATCACTGACTCCAGTGAGGAGAAAGTGGGACTACAAGGAGGGGATCCAATGAGGGCACCTGGGCCTAGAGTTCCCAAAAAGCTGGAGCCCATGCTAACGGTCATAGAAACACCACCATTTCCTGCCATTAGTGATAATACACCATTCAGTAAAGTCAAAATATCCACCTTTATGGCTCATGTACAATTAATATTCAGGAATATAATACATATGCCTACCTATCCTGAATTTAAAGGTGTAGTTGCAATCAAGGGTAATTAAAATGGATTTTGCATGTGTCGATGACTTGTCCCATTTTCTAAGTAGAAGTGTAATCAAAGTTCTCAAGCAGCCAATCGCATTCACAAAAATGCCAACTGTACCATGGAAGTTAAAGATGAAGATTTTAACATGTCAAACTTGCTATTTGGGCTAATGTAAAATATATAAGAAGTAATGCTGCGCATGAAAATAAATTTCATGTGGCTGGTGCAGTCAAATTCAGATATACACCATAGTCGAATTCAAGAGCATTATTTTACTTACATAGATCATCCATTTGGCATAACGCCGTTTCAGGTTATGCAGCACTGAAGCCTCATTGAGGTGAGTTAACATGGCCATGTCCTCAATCATATCAAATTTGGGAGGATTCATTTGTTGAACGTCATCCTCTTTAACAACAAGGCTCTGCAGGGGATAAAAAGAAGAAAAGCTTTTCCTGAAAAGATTCTTCGAAATACTGCAAGGCACAGATGAACTTGAATTTTCACTTTGTGGGGGTCCTGAAAGAAACCCAATTATTTATTTATACAGGGTACTGTATTTGGTAGGAGCCCCTGGTGGTGCAATGGGTTAAATCCTTGTGCCGGCAAAACAATGTCTGAATTTTGACATAGGACAGGCTTCGGACTGAATCGTCGATCACTAAATCAGATCTGGATTTGATGATACAACGAATAATAATAATGTTTTAATGTATTTTAATTCAATGTTTTATCACTTGCATAATGTTGTTATATTGTATTTTATATGTTGTCAGCATCAAATTGCTGCCATTGTAAGCCACCCTGAGTCCCCCTTAGGGGGTTGAGAAGGCGGGGTAGAAATGTTGGAAATAAATAAACAAATAAATAAATAAATAAATAAATAAATAAAGACTGACAGGTCTGAGGTTCAAATCTGGGGAGAGCACGTATGAGCTCCCTCTGCCAGCTCCAGCTTCCCATGTGGGGACATGAGAGAAGCCTCCCACAAGGATGGCGAAACATCAAATATCCAGGTGTCCCCTGGGCAGCATCCTTGAAGACGGCCAATTCTCTCACACAAGAAGTGACTTGCAGTTTCTCAAGTCGTTCCTGACACAGAAAAAAAACTGTATTTGGTAACAAATGTGAGAAGCATACTCTCACAAGGACAAGTAAAACTGGTGTGCAATGTGAAGAATGTCTGACCACCCAGAAAGAAACACATTCATCCTCCATAGCAGTTGAAAGTAAATAGTCTCTACAATGGACAGTGATTCGTCTGAGCAACTCTGACTACCATAGCTGCTAATTGGTGTGAAGATAGATGTGTGTGTTTGTGGGTATACTCATACACAGGCCAGACCAACTGAGAATGACTACTTCATGTATCTGATGATGTGGGATGTGGCTACCAAAATGTATGCCAAAATAAATCTGCTAATGCTTAAAATACAGCAAAAAATCTACCTATCAAGTCGTCGTCCCCTTTCCCGGGCCCCATACAAATTTTGGCATTTTATTGCACTGCTTTTATTATCCCCATACCTACAACCTCAAAAAGATTCAGGTTAATATCTTTTAGCAAACTTAGCAATTGAAAGTTAAAAGTGGAAAAACACAAATAAAAAACAGCTCTTCTTTTTTACCTGAGAAAACAGCTCTCTAGGAATCCGTAGGTCCTCCAGGGTGACACTATGGTCAATTTCTGCCAGAAGTTGGCCAGAATTATACTGGAGGACCTACAGATTCTTAGAGAGAACTGTTCAAATCCACAAAAGTTAAACCTGCAAATGAGGAGGGCTAACTATACATAAAATAAATGGCAAATATAGCACTTTAGTAACATAGGTACTCTATCTAATAATGTTTGCCAAAATAGGCAAAACTATGAAAATAGCCATGTTCAAACTGAAGGCTAGACTGGAAATATATTAAGCCAGACTGTGGAACTCGGTGCTTTATTGGGTGATAAGTAGCAGCCCACTCCCAGATAAGTTTATGTGGAAGTAAATCCCATTGACTTTCAGGAGTGGAGCCTTAGGGATTTAAGGCCTTAGCAAAGCCTTTTCGTGACTCCTGTAATTAAACTGCAATTGCTCCTATGGTGTAATGTGGCTGCTGCCGTCATGGGTTTGTGCAGATAAATATAACCTAAACAAAACAATATGCCACAGGGTTTTAATCAGAAAGGTTTTAGGTTATTTAGACAAGCAGCTGAAGTGTACAATTCATTACTTATAATAACTGGATTTAGATTGATCCCATAAACCCAACCCAAGAATGGAATAACTATCATATTACACATCTGTGCCCTATTTGAATGAACTGTATTTAACAAATGCTCTCATATTAAAAAAAACAGGCTTGTCTATAAAATCTGGAACCTCAAAGAAACTGGGTTATAGCCCATCATAGGATTGAAGGGATATTAGATATATAGATTGATTGACAGAAGTGTGCTGAGAGTGTTACAGGTTCCAAAGATCGAATACAGTATTATTTGTGTATGCCTTATCTATTTATTAGCTTTAAAATATATGCATTTTAATCTATACACCGCTTTTATGGCCTGGATGGTTAACGGGGATATTAGAAACCATAACACACTAGAGACAAGGGCTATAACCCAATAGTAAAGTATATGCTTTGCATACCAAAGGTTTTTTGTTTAATCCCAGGCATCTCCCTGTAGGACTAGGAAAGATCCTTGTCTGCAATCCTAGATAAATGCTGCCAGTCAGCAATCAGTTCAGAATGCAAGAGATCTATGGTTTATCCCAGTATATGGCAGATTCCCAAGACAAAAATATATATTCCTGGTTATAAAATAACTAAAATTCCTAGAAAACATGCATCCAAGTTGAGGGTGGGAATCATGAAGGTCTCTAAAAGTTGGTGGACTGAAACTCTCCAGTCTCTTTCTGCACCATTGTCTATATAGGCTAAGGCTAATCCCTGGTCTAAGGTATAATCCAATTCATACTACTAACTAGAGCAGTGGTTCCCAACCTGTAGTCCATGGACCACCAGTGGTATGCAAGAACTAAAATATGGTTCATGGCATCCTCGTTACTACACCGTTACAAAGAGAGCAACTGGTCTCCTGAAACCTAGAAAACATGTATATAGTGCCAAGGCTTATTAAATATGGTTTTCTGTGGGTGAGCAGTTGGCGACTACTGGATGGCATATATTCTGTATCAGAAACTAGAGCTGATATGGTCTATCCAATGCAATTTTCTGAGTCAGCACGCCCAAATAACCAGACCAAATCTAAAGTTGACCAAAAACTGATTCGTAACCCTTTTGGTACTAATTTTGGAGAGTGGTCCCTGGTCAAGTGGTCCCTGGTCAAAAAAAGGTTGGGAACCGCTGGATTAAACCGTTCTTGCAGAAGTACTGCTGACCGAAAGGTCATTGGTTTGAATCTGGGGAACAGGGTGAGCTCCCATCTGTCAGCTCCAGCTTCTCATGTGGGGACATGAGAGAAGCCTCCCACAGAATGGTAAAACATCCAGGCGTCCCCTGAGAAATGTCCTTGCAAACGGTCAATTCTCTCACAACAGAAGTGACTTGCAGCAATCGATTACATGAGTCTGGTATCATTGGGAGTTTACTGTTGTTATGTACCCTTGTTTCCAACTTACTACTACTCATCATGATGTTTTCTTGGCACGATTTGGCCAGAAGGGATTTGCTTTTGCCTTCCTCCAAAGCTGTTGCTTTTGCTATTGTTGTATATATAGCAGAGTTTCTGTGTTCATATTTCATGATAAAATGCCATGATTCAATGCATTCTTTTCAACTTGCTTCTTCTTCTATGTGATTACATGCAAACAGGTCATTTCTACTTCCTTCCAGTCATGTTTATTATTTGAAAAATCATTTACCTTTTTATCTTTGGTTTCCACAGTGACTTTGCCACCAGAGGATTCTTTGATTTCAATTTCAATATAGGCTTCCTTTTCATCTGGGATCCAGGCCCTCTTCTTTCCTGTATGATTCCCAAAAGATATAACAGAACACTTAGGAGGAAAGTGAAATATAGTTGGGAGGTTTTAATCATTCTCAGTAATTTTTCATATATTACAAGATTTAACAGTATTTGACAAAACATGCTGTATATTGCATGCGTCCTTATTTGTTTCAGGATTTCGGTGGACTTTTTGTAATGATGGTACAGACTTTTATTAATTTTTAAAATACATTTTAGACTGTTATAAACAAGTGATGTCTCAAGAGCTACAGCTAATTGAGTTGGGCAAAACATAAGCAACTTTAGGTGAACTTTCTGAATTCAAATCTACAAAACTTTGAATAATTTTTTCTGCTTCATATTTTTATAACTGAAATTCATAAATAAAAAAACATTTTGGATAAAGGAAAAGCAAGTTTTAAAGTAATGTTTTGTCTTAAAATGTATCCAGAACTCAAGATTTCATTTTGTAGCAATAGTCTTAACAATCAGATTTAAGTAATAATATTTCAAATTAAACTTCATACCCATTTTTGATAGTTTGATCATATTTTTATTTTTTCCATCTCTAAAGCACATTTGCAAGTGTTTGAATCCACATCAATAGCCCAATATCCAGAAAATAGTAGAATTCACATTGACTGTTCTTATGAATTTATCAAGTCTGATAAAATCCCATTGACTTTAGTGGGATTTAAGCAGATTTTAAATATTTCTAGGACTGAAGAAGATGACTAGGGATTTCTTGACTGTCCATTGCATTGTTCCTTGAATGAAACCAGAATTGTTACATTTATAGACAAAGCTTCCAGAGATGTCAAGATAGAGCATGCTTTCCTAGAATCTGCTCATCAACATGTTTCTGCATTGTGTCCTCAAGAGTCAGCGTCAGGTGGAAAATGTATTTTAGGAGAAACAAAAGCATTATCTTCTCGCATTCCTTGTGCATTAGCCTAGAGGTATTTGTTCTGAAACGTAGCGGATCACTCTTGTAAGCTGTGGTAATGGCAGTGGCATGACCCACGTGTAACACGATAATGGCAAGGGTGGAAAGGTACTTGTAAAGAATGTAGGATCAATTCCCATAGTAAACCTTGATTATCCCTAGTATGGCAGAAGGATGAGAGGCAGCTTCCTGAACCAGCATTCTCCATGTGTTTTTAGAAAGCATCAGGTATTTCTATTTCATATCACTACTTCCAGTAACTTTTTTTTACCTGCCCAGTTTACACATTGCTGTGATAGTATAGCTGTGCCATGGTATGACCACAATTCATATCGACATCTGTCTCTGCAAACCTATCAGACAAAAGGCAATTCTAACCCTGCCTGGAAGGTCCCACAGATGAAGTTACCCCCACCCCTCCTAAGTATAGTTATAACTGTCCTGGTTATAAGATACAGGTAAGCAAGCCTACCATGGGACCTTGATATAATATGAAATCAAGCCAACAATCTCACCAACTGGACTTAAAAGGGAAGAGTGTGTCCAGAGGAGGCCGACTAAAAGAATCAAGGGTCTGAAGAACAAGCCCTATGAGGAGCAACTTAAAGAGCTGGCCATGTTTAGCCTGCAGAAGAGAAGGCTGAGAGGAGGCATGATGGCTATGTGTAAAATATATGAGGAGAAGTCATAGGGAGGAAGGAGCACGCTTGTTTTCTGCTGCCCTGGAGACTAGGATGTGGAACAATGGTTTCAAACTACAGGAAAGGAGATTCCACCTAAACATTAGGAAGAACTTCCTAACTGTGAGAGCTGTTCAGCAGTGGAACTCTCTGCCCTGGACTGTGATGGAGGCTTTTAAGCAGAGGCTGGATGACCATCTGTCAGGAGTGCTTTGAATGCAATTTTCCTGCTTCTTGGCAAGGGGTTGGACTGGATGGCCCACGAGGTCTCTTCCAACTCTAGGATTCTATGATTCTATGACTGAGGCAGGCAACAATAACTTTCTTGTCTTTACCATTAATGATGGGAGGGAATTATAATTTAACTAGGCTAAGTTTTCAGTAGACAAAGCAGCTTCATGTCATAGAGTTTCTATGCAAAAAGACAGGAACTTCAATCCTTGTTAGTCTCAATTAATTGCAATTAATTAAAATGGATTTGCTCCCCTAAAACACAGGGATTACATAGAATTATACGTTTTTGTATGTTCTCACAAAACATAGGAAAACATTATCAGGCTATGTATTCCCTAGACAGACCCAAACTACTATGAAAGCATGTTTAGAACTTTTTTCCTAACAGCAAACATTGCCTCACCGTCAAAGGGCATAGTGTGATATTTCATCAGCTCCTCATAACTTTTGCGGAGGTACTCAGCAGCCTCCCCAAACTCCGCCATGTCCATCATATGACCAGCAGACATCTTGCCTATGGGATGGAGAAATCCCGGGTGACAGCAAAGAGTTAAGATGAACACTCTAGACCCTTGAGAAGAAGGAAAGAGAACATAATAAAAACATTGCTCCACCACTTTGCCATCAGAATCAACCTGAAGGCAAATGACAACAGAAATTATACGACATAAATTCAGACGTCACAAGGAAATGCTCTTCATTCTCTTTCTGTCCTGTAAAAGTTTCCCTGTCACACTGACAGATAAGCAACATATTTTATAGATCATAAAAGACAATTAAGCAACATAGAGAGTAAAATACAATTATGTGATGTAAACCTATGCATGCCCCAGATACGTTGAGAAACACCTATATTCAAAATCATCATAATAAACCAAACATTTTTTCCAATTTAATCCTGCAATATAGAGAGAAAGTGGTTTACCCTGCAAAGTCCTCTTTTTAAATAATAAATTAATAAATAACTTTATTTTTGTATCCTGCCATGATCTCCCCAAAGAAACTCAGGGCAGCTTACATGGGGACAAGCCCAGTCAAACATAGTTGAAATATAACACAGTAAATTTTATAAAACAACATCATAAAACAATCATAATTTCCTTTTAATTATTTTAAAATGGAATTCATCTGTGCATTTGAGAGAGAGAATATTTATAAAGTGGGAGAATATATGTTTTCTTCATGCTTTCTGCAGGAATTGTTTAAGAATTATAAGGAGCAGCTTGCTGATTAGACCAAATTTCAAGAATAACACTTTGCAAGAATCCCAGACGAGGTGGCTATGTTAATCTGTTCAATATAAAAAGTGAAGGGAAAAGTTTTACTAACATCTAGCCACTTCATTTCAGTATTGTCTGCAGAAATAACTAAACACTACACCAGGCATAGGGAAACTTTGGCTCTCCAGGTGTTTTGGACTTCAACTCCCACAATTCCTGGCCTCAGGCCCCTTCCTTTCCCCCCTCAGCCGCTTAAGTGGGAATGCACAATTCAGCTGTCAGGAATTGTGAGAGTTGAAGTCCAAAACACCTGGAGGGCCAAAGTTTGCCCATGCCTGCACTAGATGGTCAATTTGAAACTGACTAGTGGTTTACGAATGAGCTAGGATCTTTATCTTCTGCCCATTCTGCTTCAGGAGACCTTTTGCCCATCTCAGAAAGTCCTAGTGCTTCAGTTCTAAGTTAGCAGCTGTAGACTTTTCCTGTATTAACAACCAAATGCTCTCTGTGTGGTTTCTAACATAAGTGCATCCATTAATTTTGCAACCCCTCCCCAAACACAAACTCCAAGAGCCTAAGATCACAAGATTCCAGAATTAAACTTACTCAAAAAAAGAGATTAGTGCAGATTTTAAAAACAAAACTCTTGAAACACAACTCTTTATTTACTGCTGCAGCTGAAGTTCTGAGAAACATATAGCATCACAGACCAACTGCATTCAGAATCCATACACATCAACACAACATCAATAACAGATGCAGTTGCTGGTGGCTTTCCTCAATCCACATCTTAATCCAAATTTCTCCTCTTTTCTCCACCCTTTGAGCTCACCATCCATTAACATGTCCCTAGGGGTTAGTATTCCAGCTCAGACTTCTCATCCCATTTCCTTTGTTTCTTTTTTTTAAGTATATGCTAAGAGAATTAGGGTAATAGCAGAGGACAAACGTGCAAAACAAAAGGCATGCTCTTTGCTACCAACCTTAGCTACGGGGCTGAGTGACTGTGTGTGTGTGTGTACCGTGAAGCCCCCTTTTATTGTATCTGTCAAGGTCAGAGTAGGGAGAGATATGTCAGAAATTCCCATGTGTCATATCCACACAGCTCCATTGGTTCTGCTGTCCTACTGCCCATTAGAGACACAAAAGGCAAAGTTTTATCTCTCTGCAGATGCAAGCTGGTTATTTTTACTCTTGTATTGTCAGGCAATTACAAAACCAGAGAGAGGGACTCCAGATCGGAGATACTGTACAAACCCTCTTAAGAGTCATCCTGTTTCAGAAGAAGAGCACAACAAAGTGTAGTCAAACAATCTGTTTATTCAATTCTTCCTTTTGTCATTGTTTCAAATTTTTGTCATCAACATTTTCAGTTAGCTGCTGTTTATCAACCTTAGTCAATTCTGTGTCCAGTGCCACCGAGTATCTCAAAACTAGCTCCTAACAATATTAGTGATTGTAGAACTCGTGGCAATTTCTACAAGTGTGTTTGGAATCAAAGTTTCTTAATTTAAGAGAATCTGATTTTTTAAAATCTAAGAAATCAGATGTTGGATGAAGTGAAAGTGATAGAAAGAAGATCCAGTGCCACTTCTATGTTATGACTAGGATATTAAGATCGTCTGGGGAGGCCCTGCTCTCAGTCCCGCCTGCATCACAGGCGCGTCTGGCGGGGACGAGAGACAGGGCCTTCTCAGTGGTGGCCCCTCGGCTATGGAATGCCTTACCGGTAGACATCAGACAGGCACCTTTGTTGCTGGTGTTTCGGAGAAAGGTCAAGACTTGGCTTTATGAACAAGTGTTTGGCTAAACAGTGCAACCGAACATAGGAAGACGGTAAAATGGAACATAGGAATGGCACAAGGATTATGAGAACGGATCTGATTTCACTGAGGCGCTATGTTTTGACTTGTTAATTGTTGTTGATTTTGTTGTTGTATATGTTGCGTTTTTAATTGCACTGACATTGTTGTGATAACCTGTACCATGTAAACCGCATTGAGTCACCTGTTTGGGCTGAAAAATGCGGTATAGAAATAAAGCAAATAAATAAATAAATAAATAATAATGACTGCCATCTTCCAGGTATTTTTTTTATAATTAGTGTTCCAAAAATATAACTAATCATAATGTTTATTTTAAAATTTGACAAAGAAAGAGAATATAACATAAGAGAGAAAAGGCAAAAGAAATAAGTGTAGGACATTTTTCACTTCCAGTAGATCCGGTTGTCAATTCAATAAACTATGGATTTAAATCACTCCCATAAAGTAATAGCCAGGACAAATCAGACTTGGATGTAACATTATTGATGCATTGTTCAGAAACTTCCCATGCAAGTGAGGCACTATTTCTACACTGTTCTGTAGGGGGGGGGGAACTTTGCCCCTTCTACATTATCTAGACAACTTGTATATAAAAGAGCTCAGGCTCCTTAAGAAGGCACAACATAGTAGGCAAAGAATGGGCAGATTTTGAGAAGACAAAATAGTGACGCTGGCTCAGTACAAAGTACGAACAGAGACTGAAGTTCACTGAAGGCTGGATTTGCACTGTGGTTTTGGATTTGTTCAAAACTTGCTGATGACAGCTGCCAAGGAAGTTTTGTGTCAAGGGAAAATTGATATGCCAGTGGCATGGGTCCGGTGCTCATTGGGATCTAACCAATCACATTAGTTCAGTCTCCTACTTTGCAACCATAATATTACGCCCTAAACCAGGATTGGAAGTGTCAGAGCAGGCATGGTCTCCATTTTTTATTTTACCTTCTCCAGCTATTTCTGGTGATCTTATGTATAAAGAAACATTATTGGGATTATTAAAGTGCTTGCAAACTCTTTCCCCCTGAATTAAACCTAGGTATCTTCTAGAAAGATTCTAACACTAAATTTGATGAATCCATTGCCATGGGGTTGGATACCCATGCTTGGTTATATGTCCATCCCTCCAGAGTTCAGAATTTGTCCTAGTGCCAAATTTCTGTCAGCAGGCCCGTAGCCAGGATTTCGTTTCGGGGGGGGGGTGAATTTTTTCTAGGGGGGTGGGGGCATTCGTGGGGGCTGAGTCTGAGTGAAAGAGGGTCTAGCCTAGCAAACCTTTTGTATCATTACCCCAATACCCCCATGCATATGGGATATATTGAGTATGGTGATCAGAGCATGATATGAATAAACATAACAGTTTAAATAATGCACCAGTAAGGCCTTTTCGCGAACCACCATGAGAATTTCGGGGGGGGGGCTGAAGCCCCTCAAGCCCCCCCCCCCCCCCGGCTACATGCCTGTCTGTCAGACAGAACCAGCACCTGGATTACTCCAGCACAACCCAGACCAGCTTCAGGAGGAGTGACCATAAAACCAAGAATTCTCACTTCTGCAATAATGGATTTAATGGTTGCCCCTGATTTCCAACCGGATGTTACTTTTGTTGTCTACAGCAGGACTGGCAGGTGGTGGCCCCTTGATCAGGACTTTAAGCAAGCCAGTTTTCTCACTGAGATGAGAAGGGGATTGGAATGAACAATATGGGTTGCCAGTCTTCAGGAAGAAAAAGAAACATGAAAGTGTTTTTAATGGAACAGTAGCTTCTTCCTACCTATGAAGACCAAAACAATGGCTTTAAAATGAACCAGAAAATTCTTATATCAGAGATGCTGTATCAGTCATAATGTTCTTGTTTCATGCAATCTTGCTGACTTCTATCCATAATGATACTGTGAACAAGAGCCATCCACTCCCGAGAAAAAGATATTGTAATTAAGAGCCCTGCTTGGATCTTACATATTCAGGTTTGTGCCTTCCTTTATGAATTCACATCTTAACACTTGTGATTTTTATCTAATTTTACATCAGTTGTCTTTCCATCCCTTAATATTTTTCTGATCTCTTGACTGCAGTTTCCATTTGGACTGATAAATCAGCCAGTGTATAGAAAATACTTTAACAATATGAATGTCTTCATCAACAATTTCAGAATTATATAAATTTTGGCAGCCATTATTTTAATATTTTTAATATTCTGCTTTTGCTCTTCCTTCCCTGACTTTCATCAGTAGTCATTCAAAGTCTTTGCTATTTTCTGTCAGTAATACATTGTTATCTGCATATCCTAAATTATTTATGTTTCATTCTCCAGTTTTCACACCTCCTTCATCCAAGACTAATCCCACTTTCCATATGATATTGTTCTGCATTTAAAATAAACAGGATAATAAAATCCTTTAACTGGAAACCTTTTCCGTACCTCATCCCAACAGTGACCTCTTATTGAGATTAGAGGTTACATATCAAGGCAATCAAAGGTTGATGCATATCCATTTATTTTCATCATCTTTGCAGTCAATGGCTTTTTAAAGTGTTTGAAAAGCTTAAGCCAATGGTTCTCAACCTGTGGGTCCTCAGGTGTTTTGGCCTACAACTCCCAGAAATCCCAGCCAGTTTATCAGATGTTAGGATTTATGGGAGCTGAAGGCCAAAATATCTGGGGACTCACAGGTTGAGAACCACTGGCTTAAGCTATAAAGCTCAAGCCCTGATATTCCTCAGTGCTCTCCATTAGCCAATCATTGTGACTCATTTATAGGACTTAATTAGTTGCCAAAAGTCCCAAACTCTGGCATCCAGACTCTCAATAAAAGGAATCTCAGACATTGCTCTAAATCTTTTGTTGAGCCCTTCATGTGTTTTGGGTCAAAAGCTCTATAGTTCCTTATCAGTGACTACAGTGGCTATAGTAGGTGAGCTATAGACAAAAAGCATTAGAGCAGTGGTTCCTAACCTTTGGTCCTCCAGGTTATTTGGACTTCAACTACTAAAAATCCCAGCCAGTTTAGAAGCTGTTGGGAATTGTTGAGCTGAAGTCCAAAACCACTGGAGGACCAAAGATTGGGGACAACTGATTTAGAGGCTGTAGTTGCCCATTCATTGTTTAAACCAGTTATACATTAAGGGTTTCTGGGTTGCTGTGAGTTTTCCAGGATGTATGGCCATGTTCCAGAAGCATTCTCTCCTGATATTTCACCCACATCTATGGCAGGCATCATCATAGCAACACGGTGATTCCAGCCATGAAAGCCTTCAACAACACATATAAAGGGTTTGATTGTGCCCAGCTCTTTCTTACTTACAATTTGTATTCTCAGCACTTTTCTCCCTAGCAGAGTTTAAACCCAACCTGCTCTCTTCAGATGTGACCATTAAAATTAAATGAGGCAATCATATACCCTCTAACTATCCCAGTTTTGGCAATGACAGTCCAGTTAATCATCTTTTCCACTTTTTGGCTGCTTTTAAAAAGTCCTACTTTCTGTTTTCTCCCATTTCCCCTCTTTGTCTCCAGTAGCTTACTTCCATTGCTGCAAACTGCGTTCAAAGTGCAAAAGTAATTTGCACTTAATTAATTCAGCAGGAAGAGAGGAAGCATAGGAAAAGAAGTTTGCCCTTCCCAGTAGTCAAGCAAAAACAAACTACTCCAGCATTTCCTCGCTTGTGTGTGCTTTCTCTTTCATGTTTATCTACGACACTCTGATATTGCTTGGCCACGTGAGTCCTAGTTTTCAACCATGAAAGGTCAAAGCATATGTGGATGGGAAATTGTTGGGAGTTCCACGTTAAAAGAAAATATGCATATATGGCAATTGCTTTCTAGTCAAACTTTGTGAAGTACATAACGCAAGGTGTTGTGTAGCTTTTCATGACAGCAGAATTCAATCTCATGTTACAAAAAATCCCAATGAAGGGGATAGCTATTGTGGTACTGCTAATTACCAGAGTCCCCTCTAGAGAAATATTTCTCTGTTAAGAAGCTTTGATTAGAGACAGGAAGGGAGATGACTACAAGCTGTTGAGCCATTTGCTGAAAGGTTCTTCACTCAACACCATCACTTCTTTCAGTTGGTGGGAGAAGTGAATGGAATATAGAGGGCTAGCTCACAGATTAGATAGAGACAATCTGCAGAGTAGCTATTTCAGGCATATTTCCATTCTGCAAGTTGAGCCACTTATAGGGAAGTGTTTGGGGTTGTTATATCCGGGTGCT